TTTTCAAGAATTGTAATGTACCCACGTTCCTAAGAATATTAATATTAGATAGGTGCATTAGTGATTCTCGTTGTCGTGTGCCCATGCATTGAGTTTCGTGAGGGATAATTATGGAGATCGGCTTCCGCGCTATGCCTCGGCCTAGAGTCTATGCTATGCCGGAGTCGGGCTAACTCGGACCAGGGGACAACTCGGCCCAGGTACAAAAATGGTCAGTTTTTGCATGTTTAGGTTTAGGGTTAGGTTTAGGGTTAGAGTTTAGGGTTAGGGTTAGTGTTAGGGTTAGAGTTAGGGTAAAATGACAAAAAAATGACCGTTTTTGCAGCTGGGCCGAGTTGTCCCCTGGTCCGAGTTAGCCCGGATCCGCTATGCCTATGGCTATGCTTACGGCCTGCAGACATACAGCTGCATAATGCATTACTATCCTGGCTGTGTGTTGTGTTCTGTTGATTCTCAAATCAGATGTGTGAAAAATAAAGGATAAAATGTAGAGGTGATACAAATATTACCAAATGGGTAACCTTGTAATACTGCAATTTGAAGAATAAAGTGTCCTAGACCTAACTCCTATTTCTCCTCGAGGGTCTATTCTAATTTTCTATTTGTTATTTTTTGCAGTGTCACACAGTGGCCAGTAACAGAGAACAGGACTGTACCTCAGGCCGTTGAAGTCCTCACAAAGCGTCTCGATGCATTGGGTGCTTCAAAATCTGGCAATTTTGGAGTAGACTGTGAAACTTACCAGTCAGTCCCAACAAATGGTGAGATTTCACTTGTCAAATTATAAATTACCCATCATCTGTATTATTTGTATTTTTCTTGATGTAGCTTACTTTAATAGTAGGTATAACTTATGCCATGTACAAATAGCGAAAGTAAGAAATACTCTCATATTATTAATATAATGCAAAGTGCCCCCCCCCCTACTTCGAGAACTACATACAGAATATACAAACATCATACCTGAACTATTCTGAACTAGTATAGGAAGTGTAGAATATGAAAACATACAACAACTGGATTCATGTGTGACTTCTGTTTTCCTCCTTATTCTTGTTACTGGTATTATTATTGATATTATCATCATATATTTATCTGCAACCAAAGGTACAGTTTAATGTGAACACATCTTACAAAAGAGATTCTGCTTCCCCTACCACAACAGGAGGAAAGATGTCCTACATGTGTATTTGAAATACATGTGATGCTTTTGCTCAACCACTACCGTCGGGAAATGTGAAAGGGGTTGATTAAAACATTCATTTAAGTGACAAATCTGTTTTTTCTGCCGGCTAGATTGATTGCTGTGAAGATGAAGGATATATGTTTTCCACACACTTTTTTAATTAATTTCATTTTACTTTTGACATGCAGTCCCACTTAAGTATATCCATGTCATGCACAACAAAGAGCAACCCTATACATGCTATGCAGTGACAGACAACAGAACATGCCTAGTGTGTGAGAACTCTTTTGAGGCAATCATGCATCGGCTCAATGGATTCTATGTGCCCAAGAAGACGGCCAGAATTGAGTCCAAAGGAACTCGTTATGAGATGGGTGATTTCATCATCAAGATTGGAATAGTTTCTCTAGGGCCCCATGCCAGGGGAGTACTCGTTGAGGTAATATTCCATCACTTACTTGACCATTCTTCTATTCAGTCGCATATTAATGTGGGACAGGAAAACACACTTTGGTTTATTGATGTTTAAAGGGCAAGTCCACTCCAAAAATGACTTACTTTCAATAAAAGCAGAAAAATCAGACAAACCAATCAAAAAAAATTGAGCAAAATAGGATAATAAGAAAGTTATGAATTTTTGAAAAAGTATGCAAAACTATAGAACAATGAGAATCACAACACAATTTGCCAAGTTGGTTATCAGTTTGTGATGTCATGTCCTCACAACTTATCAATTGCTTTATATACTTTAATCCCATTAATTTCCCCTTTTATCCCCCAAAACTTGATTTCCCCATGCCTTTGCCCAGGTTATATGATTTGTATCATATTGCGTGCATGACATTTCCCCAAAACTGTTATGAATTTTGAAGAATTGATACTATTTTCTGAATATTGTATTTCATAATTATTGATTTTTATATAAATAGTTTATCAAAATTCAATTTTTCATGATTTAACCAGACAAAAATTACTCTTTATTTGTGCATCCACACAAAAACATGTTACTAACAATCTAACTTGGATGATGGTGTGAAGAAATAAGATTCTTAGGGTGAAAATAGGAAATTCATATCATCAATATAAAGAAAATAGTTAGTGGATAGTGAGGACCATACGTCACAGACTCATGAGTGAGTTGCCAATTTGTGTAGTGATTTTCAAAGTTTTTCATGTCATTAAAACTTCATAACTTTCTTATTAGTTATCCCATTTTGCTCAAACTTTTTTTGATTGGTTTGTCTGATTTTTCTGGATCTATTGAAAGTAAGTTATTTTTGGAGTGGACTTGGGCCTTAAGTAATGATTTGATAAATAATGTGGTTTTCACTATTGTCTATAGCATGTAATATTGTTTTTTCTTAACAGCTAATACACTTTTCAAACTGATGTGTATTTCTGAAGAAAAGCATCTGTTGGACTTGTAATCGATCGGTTTAATGATATCTTACCCTAATTGTGATTATTACATTTTAATCTCATTGTGCAGGTAGAGTACACACCATGTGTCATCATTCAAGACTGCTGGCCATTAATGGTGGAGTTTATGCAAGGTTTCATGGGAGCTCAGTACACACCAAACACACACCCTATGTTAGCCAACAAACAGGAAGTGCCTTTCAATGCAGAAGATACTGTCTTTCAGTACCTAGAACAGTTTGAAAACTTCGTCAAGAGGGGCTCTAGCACTGCCACTGTCAGGTGATGTCAACATGGTATCAGCATTTCTTCACGTTTGATAATGGCTAGCAGAAGGATGAACTTGATGGTGCCTAGATCTTATTTGAGACCCTCGTTTAGAACTTGTACATGGACTGATGCCTGCTCAAGGTTCTATATGTCTACTGGTTCTCTATGCTAACATTGATGAATCTGTGACAGCACTGATATTGGCTGAATTTAGTCAGAAATCAATGTTAAAGATCTTGGATTTTTTCAAATGCAAATCATCCACATGACACGAGTATTTGCTGAGGCTTGTTCCATTTTTAATTTTGAAAGAAAAATATGGTGAGATTGGACATTTTTTTCTTTAAGATAAGTCATTGTGTAATGCTGATACGCAGTCCTAGGCCCTTTGTAATAGAGCTGTGATCGATCTGGATTGATCAAATCAATTGCACCTTACTCACAAACTCTCACTTAGATTTCCTGGACCCATGACTTATATGCCTTTGTTTTACAAGCATGCATCGTCGTAAAGTAATATAATTGGAAGTTACAAGAGGCTAGATGAGTAGTATGAGGAGTATTTGTATTGCCATTGTTTACTCAAAGTTCACCATGTCCTCTTGATCAATTAGTTGATCCAAGTTGGTTCTTTACGATAGAAAGAGGTGAAAGAGTTGGTGAAATGCAATTCGTAACAAGATTGTATTTTCTTACATTTTGCTGATTCAAACCACCAACATACATTCTTAAAGGTACTATGTCCCTTTTGCAGCCAACCTCAAATTCTGTAGAACTTTGCAGGAATTATGAATATGTCATGTATATCCTATCTGTGAAATTTAAACGTTAGCAGTGTCCTCATATTCAAATTATGCAAGGAAACCCGTTTACTTGCTAGACTTCACTGTCAGACACTATTGAGTGACTGACTGGTTTTTTTTTCTTTGGTAATAACATACATGAAAAGAGTTGTAAAGGGTACATGAGCATTTGTCTACATCAATAAACCACTTCTTGTGATGGCCAAGACTAAACTGATTGAATCTTTGCGCAGCATAAAACGTATGACCATTCGGTACAATCGTCTTAAAATCAAGACTATTACTTTTGGGCTCTATAGCCCTAAAGTCGATTTGACAACTAATAGTCGTTATTTTCCCACTTGAAGACATTTTCAAGCCCCACCTTTTTTTAGGGAAGTTCTAAATTAGTATTATCTTTCAAATGCAGTTGGAATTTAACTTTTTCATTTTTTTGGCCTGCAAATGGGACATGGTACCTTTAAGTATGGTAAACAACTCTGAATACAAATAAATTTCTTTTTCTGTAGAAAAGTATAACACTAGAACTTGGTCAAAAGTGAAGTAAAATACATGGATTACTTTCCTCCATGTTTACTTATTTTTCTGGTCTCTAATTAGTTTTCCATCCTGTTACCATAAGAGGATGAGTTTGAAATGTTGGGATGCATAGGGCAAATAGAGGAAGTTTTTTTAATGTAACTTTCCCCAGTTTCAATGGTACATGCATCTTATGTTTATTTTTATATTTTTGTTAAATCTTTAATTTTTGATGAAACACATGTAGAAGAAATGATATACTGGTAGGTTTGCTTCATTCTTGGGTGAAAAAGGCCTGCCTCATCCCTGGATAAAAAATTTAATGAACTAGAATTTTTCTTCTTCTTCAAAACTTGTCCTTTTGACCTAGGATAAGGCGTTTTTGTGTCTCAGCTTGTGTCCTCTGTTTGTGATCATGTCAGACATAACCTTGTGAATTTTAAGAAATTGTAAAGCTGTATATAACTTAGACATAATAAAGTTAATCTCAATGCATTTTGTTATTATTATTTGTTTTATTTATTTAACCACAGTTAAAACACCTGCCATCAGCTATAAGGCTGTTTTCATAAAGTCTATTAAAATAATAATACAGATGTGTAAATGACTCTTAATAGCAATTACACTTAGTATTATAATTTTTAAACATCAGAAATTATGAATAAAACGAAACATCGGAGGTAGATTGAGTGAGAGAGATGAGAAGAGAGAGAGAGAAAGAAAGACAATAACGATTAGAAAGTTGGGAGGAAAATACCATTGATCGCCTTTATAAAGTATGAAAGCCAAGTTTCTTTTTTTTGTGTGAACTGGGGTAAGCCCTTCTCATTCATCCATAATAATTCACTCAATTTGGTATAGATGAAAAATTATATATGATTTTGGAGACTACAAGATAAAGAGTATTATCAACCAAAACCAATCCTGCATGTGCGGGTGACTAGTTTACACAATCTTTCACCACAACATACTAGTATCATTATGTAACTGCATCTCCAATATGCCTTTGCCTCAGTTTACTTCACGACTTTAATTATTCTTGGTATATAACAATGTTACAAATTTTGACAGACGATCCCTAATTGTGACGACTTGTCTCCCTACAGTGACACATACTAGTTACAGATTCTAAGTTCAAGGGTAAAAAAATTGATTTGGCCATAACAAGGTTAAAAACCTTTCAATCTATGTTATAGACTTGTTGACCTTTGACCTTCTTTAACTCAAAATCTAATCAGGGGTGATGGGGACTAGTGAGCACTAAAAAATATATTTAAAAAATCAGGATTTTTTTTTTTTTTCAAATTAAGAATTTATCAGGCCTGTCTAATCCAGTGTATATTTGTCTCACTATGGTGATGTACACTAAGTTCATGGCTCAAATTGTCCATGAGACATTGCAATAAAAGGGCTAAAACCCTGAGATTTCATTGAAATTCACCTCTATTACCTTTGATATTTCATCTTTTTAAATCTTCCCAAAAATCTGAACAGATCGTTTTCATTTGGCGATACATATTTGCACCAAGTTGAAGTTCATACCTGGAGCAGTTCTTGACGAGTCACGATATAAAGATAAATTATATTTCACCCTGTAATTTCAAAAATTGACCTCTATGACATTTTATCTTTTACCCTTTTACCCAAAAATCTGATCGGACTGTCTCCCTATGGTGATACATACATGTACTCAACCCAAATTTGAAGTTCATACCTCAAGTGGTACTTGAAAAATCGCATTGAGGCTAAAACCTATAATTTCAGAAATTGACCTCTATGATCTTTGACCTACTAACTCCAAAGTCTAATCAGATCGTCTTCCTATGGTGATACATACTATCACCAAGTTTGTAGTTCATAACTTGAGTGATTTATGACATATTGCGGTAATGAGAAAGCGGATAGACATACGGGCTGACAAACACAAAACATTAAGCCTCTGGCACCACCTTCAGTGGGTGGAAGCATGAAATTGTTAGTTGTTAGTTGTTGTTAGTTGGAAAAAATAAAAGATTTCCAGCTTAATGTCTTTTCATTTTGAGATGAGAATTCAAGCTGAATATTATGTGGCTTATAATAGTGCGATACAAGTTCCTATTTCAAACTGGCATGGTAGATTGGTAGTAAAAGTACATCTAGTTGAATTATATTTTAGAGGGCAATCAAACTCTGACAACAAGTTAAATTTGGGTAAAAACAATAATGATTAAAAAAAAAAAAACGACAGTGAACTTCCTTCAAAATGGTGTGAAAATTTCAATTAAAATGCTGCAAACATACGGCATGTGAAAACGATGTACACAAGTCACAATGTTCTTAATCTTTATCAGAATCCTATGCCCTGAGGAATGTCCACCTGGATGTGATATATTCAAAGATGCAGTTCTTCATGTCACTTTGCATAGTCATCCATTAAATCATGTCCTTTCCTGCTTGTAAACTCCTTTATTTGCAAGAATACCATTCTGTAAAATCTTCAAGTCTCTATGCAGAATCATCCACTGATTCCAATACAGTCTCGCCTGGACAGTTGCAAAAAAACAGAAATTCATGTTCCTAGGAAGAAACATCATTGTACTGTCATGAGTCTTCTTTCTGCATAAACTGGGAAGGTTTTTTAGTTTCTTGATAGAGTTCATAGAGCTGTCCGACCTGGATGTCGTTCAGGTCTTCTAATTGGTTTCCATCAAGGTGCAAACCAACCCGTTTGACCTCACCCTCAGATTTCACACCTTCTGTTTGAGCCGATAACATTGCTGCATACCCCTGGAAATTAGATCAATAAAAAAAAAATGATTTTACATGGATATCACGATAGTTCCATGCGATAGTTAACCTACACACATGTATGAATGCAATGGTCGCATATGTGTAATGAGATTTTACTTACCCGGTAGGTTATTATTCTGGAATAATAAACTGGAGCATACTTCTACACTGATTTGTTTATTGACAGGCCAAGTAATGTCACATTTGGTTTCTGATGACAATCATTTTAAATGGGGCTCTTCCTCCCAATAGTTCAATGTTTTGTGCACTTCATGCTGGTATCCTATAGTCCCACATATAAATAAGTGACAGACTTAGTGCAGGCTTTCTTAAAATATAATCTCTTTAAGTTGAATTTCATCAGTTCCATAAATTACTATTCTTTAATCTTCATCTCATCTTCAGCTTATACTTTTCTGTCATACATTTGTAAACAAATACCTTAAAAAGCTGTATATCAGAGTGTTCAACTTTTAGTTCTTCATAATTACCCCATCATAATGTAAGCACTCTGCCTGTACATTTTGTAGTTGTTACATGTATGTTAAGGAATACATGAACCGATACATGTATTTTTCTTTTGTTTCTACTTATGGTATACTGTTTAATGTTATTTTCATGTCAATTATGCACAACTGACCATTACAGTGTACGAAAATGTACGAAAATGGATGAATGATTGCTATCTCAAACTAAATGACGATAAAACAGAATTTCTCTTGTTAGGCTCCAGACAACAACTTTCCAAGATTGCTATAACTCATATACGTGTTGGTTCTGTGCACATTGCTCCTTCAGAGAAGGCAAGAAATCTTGGTGTCATTTTCGATACAAGCATGTCTCTTGATGCACATATTTCAAAATGTGTGAAAGTTGCCAATTATCATCTTCGTAATCTTCGCGCTATAAGGAAATTTTTAACCCCCCAAACCACTCAACAATTGATTCATGCTTTTGTAACATCTCATCTCGATAACTGTAACTCTCTCCTTTATGGACTTCCCAAATACCAAATTCACAGACTACAAAAGGTTCAAAACGCAGCTGCCCGCCTTGTCACTAAATCTAAACGTTCGACCCATACTACTCAAATACTCAAGAAACTTCACTGGCTTCCAATAGAACAGCGTATCAAATATAAAATTCTACTACTCACCTACCGTTCACTAAATGGATCAGTCCCTGAATATATTTTCTCTCTTCTTAATATCTCTTTAAGTTCTCGTACAGGTCTTCGTTCCTCTAATTCAACAAATTTAACACAATTAAGAACAAAGAGGAGTTGGGGAGACAGAGCTTTTACAGCTGCTGCACCCCGGTTATGGAACTCCCTACCCCATTCAATCAAAATGTCAGCCAATCAAAATGTGTTCCAAAAACAATTAAAAACCTATCTAATGTCTGAATTCCTTAGTTAAGACGTAGTGTATTTCAAAATATGATGTAATTAACATGGCTGAATTATATTAATTATGTTAATTTATTTTCGTTCAATGTACTTACCTTGTTAGGCGCCTTGAGCATCTCTTGGGGTGGATATGTGCGCATTATAAATGTTGTTATTATTTATTATTATTACAATGTATGTTGTGACACATGATTTCTTTTAAAAACATTTTGATATGAATTGTATTGAATTGAATATTCTTTAAAAAGTATTTTTTTAAATGCCTTACATGAGGATAACCTCATAGTAATTTCTGAAGATTTTTTTGTGATGCATGGTGGTTGTTTTTTTTCTTCACATGAATACCATTTTGAATTGAATTGAATGGAATGTTCTTTAAAAATCAACCTTATTATTTAGTACTTTCTATCAAATCAAAACACATTTTCTTACAAAGATGTTGTCTCCATTAACTTAAGTTGAACTCTTAACTTTTGATCATATCTTACCTGCCATTCGTTCATGAAGTTCTGGACCTCTTCTGATTTAACATTCTTGTGCCTTCTGAATTCTGCTTTCACATATTCATCTCCCAGAGCCTTCATCTCTAGGGGAAGACGTCGATGCAGCAGGAGAATCTGTCTATATAGCGTCCTCACAGCTGACACATGCGATACTGCCATGCTGACTTCACACGTAAACCATATGTTCTATCATAAACAAACAAAACAAATTTGTACAGGTGAAAACAAGGAGAAATCAAGTCACAGTGCACAAAATACATCTATACTATAGTCTTTACTCTGTACATAAGGTAGTCACATGACTATCTTCCCTATCTGAAACCATTAACTGCAACATTAAACAAATATTAAAATAATTTTCATGTTTTTAAAAGACAATACATGTATGGTGGTGTGACCATAGTTCTCGCGTGACCCAATTTTTTAGTTGCACGCCACGCACGCCGATCTGACATCAAATTTTTAGATCGCAACATCTCTGGAATCCTTTTGACGATAAATTTCTAGTTGAACCAATTTGTAGTAATAAACTTTGCCGTCCATTTGGTATTAAATCATAGATCAAATTCTCTAACATTTTCAAAATCTCTGCGAACTTGGTCACCCCTTCATACAAACATGACTCTGGGGATCCGGGCTAACTCGGACCTAGACCGAATTTTTCGTCTCTTTCGTTCGTTAGCCTCTTATTGGGGTAGGGTCGGCGGCCGACCCTACCCCAATAAGAGGCTAACGAACGAAAGAGACGAAAAATTTGGTCTAACTCGGACCCAGCTGCAAAAAAGGTCCTTTTTGTCATTTTACCCCAACTTTAACCCTAAACCTGCAAAAACTGACTGTTATTGCTGCTGAGCTGAGTTTTCCCCTGGTCCGAGTTAGCCGAATCCGACTTTGTTACTAGATAGATACAAAACTGACCTGCAGTGCAAAGCAAGCACCAACTTCTAAAACTAATCTACCTTTACTACTTAGTATTTAGGCATTACTAAACATAACCTACATACAGTACTAAAACAAAAGTTACCCAAGATTCTGGAAGAATGCTGTGTTCTCAATCTCAGCAGTGCAGTCAGGCTAATACTTTACTAATAATAGACTACTTATAATAGATTAACTTGACTTACCCCATGCCATGAAAAGACAATAACATTCTTATTTTTGTGTAACTCAAACATTTTAAAATTTAAATACAAGTCAAGCGAAAACGATCGACTCCTTGATCCTCCGGCCTCCTCTCTATCTCAATAGGCCTTATCGCAAATAGCCTCACGCAAGGGACAATGGGATTGAAAAGGGAGCAAGAGCGCCGCAAACGTCTGATTGTGATGATGCGAAACGCTAGCAGCCGACGCGCCCTGTGTATAGTACACACGTAAGTACTATACTACGTACATCGAACGTTGGCTTATTCTACTTAGTTTCAGCTCCTATACCGATCAAACATCTCGTGATATTTTGTCTTGCAAACTCACTGATTACATTGATTCTACATGATGGGTGGTGGAGACAGATGTGCTGTCTATGGATGCAACAATAATCGAAGATATCCAGAAAGATAAGAATGATTTTGATGTTTTACTTTCGAGTTTTGTGATGACAAAGTGGGAGGCACTGCATGCCTCTAAATCTAATCGAAACAGTGTTACTAGCAAGTGGCGAAGGGAATAGTGTCGGGACAGCTATGGCGTTGTTGCCAACAACAGGCGCTAAAGCTAACCTTGTCTTTCTTAATGCTTTTCATCTACCTGGTTTAATTCATTTGATTGTCCCTGCGATTTTCAATACATTTAAATCAATCATCAAAATTTTTGTCTAGAATTCGGAATGGGGGAAGTTTTCAGCAAAAATTAGTTGAACGAAATGAGAAAATAAGTTCAATTGACAATTTTAAATCGTAAACATGATTCAGATGATTCTTGATCTAATTTGTGTCTTCTTTTTCTTCTCCCCACAGATATGTTGTGAAGAACCATGTTAACAACTAAGGTTTCACAAGTGCACAGATCCTCGGAACTATAGGCCTACGTCCAGTGGACCAGGCGTTTTTTTTCTTCAATCCTATAATATTTTTATCATAGCGAAGACATCCAAATACATGCAATTGCACCTAAATATTTTGTGTGTCTTTTTATTTAGATTTGAGATTTGCAGAAATGGAAAAAGAATAAGTCATTTACACAAGGGCGAAAGTCTGAAGAATGCGAAAGAAGAGCTGGCAAAATATAAAAAGAATAAAAGAAACAAATGCTACATTACAAGCAGTATATGTATGAGATGGAGGATAAAAATGTGAAAGAGAATGTGATTAAATATTCAGAGATAAAAAGTTGAGTAATCGATGATCATTAAAATACCCAGCTAGCAATGTTGTAGCCAAAGTGGATGAGGTGGGGGGGGGGGGGGGGGTGGGTGAGCTGGGGCATTCCCATAAATTTTCTTGGCAATATATCTCTTCCTCCTCACTTATATACTTTTCTCAACAAGTACATCTCTTCATTACTCTTCTCAACATGCACATCTCTTCACTCCTCTATACTTTTCTCAAAAAGTACATCTTTTCCTCCTCTCTTCCGATACTTTTCTCACCAATTACGTCTCTAATTCACTCCTCTATAGTAGCTCAACACTTACATCTCTTCCCTCTTTATATTCATTACTAAACAAGTTGTATATCTGAATCATTTTTTTTTAATCGTCGCTCATTGTAATAGCTTTATTAAATGTTGGAATCGCTATTAACCCTTACAAAAAAGTACAATTGAGTAATCAAGATATTTTCTCTCATTTTATCTCTTCCATAAATTACAAAACTGTCCATACACAGTAGAAATGAATAGATACAAGGCCATGAAAGATAGTTGTCTTATATTGAACATTTACTTTATTTCTCATACGTATACATTATAAAAAGCAATCAGTATCATGTAAACAAATTTACAGATCATAAAAACTAAGGACATGTATTTGCTTCATACAAGATAACAAACTTCCAATTCATTTTTGGAAATGGAGATTTAAATTATGAATATTGTTGATTTCTTGGACTACCCATCTTCCATCATCAAGTATCAACTTTTCCTGCTGACACTTTAAAATCTCCTCAGTGCTCAGCTTTCTCATCAATCAAGCTTTTCTGTCCAATAGGCTTTTTCAGCAAGTTCAGCGTGCTTTTCACCATTGACTGGTACGCGCCTATCCCTCAAAAACTTCTTGAGTTCAGTGGCTGAAAACTGTAAAAACCTACAAGCTCCGTCTGCCGTAATTGCAGTGTATTACCACAAAACAAAGATTAGTTCTTTAGCTCTGGGTACAACTATCAAATTGGTTACAAACTGCGGCTGAAAGAGCAGTAAATTTGATTAAAAATAGCTTCGACTTCGAGTAGTACTATACAAAACGTGTGCCGTTGTATGACTTCACGAAAGCCGAGATCGTGTTTGCTCCCTTTTCTATCCCAGTGGCCTTTGCGCGAAGGGCACCACCCAGCGACAAAGGCTATTTGCGATAAGGCCTATACGCATTAGCATTGACTCTCTTAGACCGAAAGCTTCAGTCTCTATATCGTCGGTTGTTCCACTGAGACTACGTCTGGCTCCACTAGACCTTCGGATATAGAGACTGAACGATCGCCTATGCCATCGTATGTTGAAGATATCACGGCTAGATTTTAGCCGTTAGGCCCCTCCCACAAACATTACAAACTTAAGGGGAAATACATCATTTATCTTCAATTGCAGTAATTTTCTAGGCAATTGTCAGTCCCTAAAAGTTCCCTTTTTACCCCCCCTTCCCCACGAAATATAAAATTTTAAAGAAATAAAAGGACTTACCGAGCTTTTGCCTGCTTCTCGATGACCCACGTCAAGCATTGACCGACAAAAATCAAAATGGTGGCTAATGAATAATCAATGACCTCGCCTCGGCTAGCTCCTCCGTGCGTCACGTCGAGGATAGCGCGCGCACGTGAAGCAGACAACACGAGAACTCAAACGTGAGTAGCAGCAGCGTGATGTACATGTACATGCACGTACGCGCACGTCTATGAATGAGGTCAATGGGGTGGAGACTAAAAAACTTTGGCATGAATATTCATTACTTTGATTCAAGACGTCTGAAGACAGTCAAGTGGAAGAGATAATAACACTTTTTTGAAGAAGATTTCATATGCAGAGGTCCAAGGTACATATTTTCTTAATGTTTATCATGTGTGGTTTAATTTTAAAATCGAATTGTATATGATAGTGCATGTGATTCTTACAAAAAAAGGATTTAACTTAGCGTCAGGGCAGTATCGTCTTATCGTATACCCGTAGACTGTATCTTCAACGTACGATGGCATAGGCGATCCGTTCAGTCTCTATATCCGAAGGTCTAGTGGAGCCAGACGTAGTCTCAGTGGAACAACTGACGATATAGAGACTGAAGCTTTCGGTCTATGACTCTCTATGCTTTGCTGGAGTGCTCTATCTCTGCCCTAGGCTATAGGCTTATAGCTACACACAGCGCATCGCCATCGCGGCTGCACTGGCACTGCACTGTCACGCATCACGGGCAACTTCGCTTCGCCTGATTTCTAGAAAATTAAAGTTATCAGTAACACCAGCACTAACAGTAACACTTAATAGACTAATTAACATACACAAACACAAAACAATAAGCAAAATTATTTACCTCTTTCGGATCAGATGGTGAGATATTAGAGATAGTAAGCGTCAGTGTCTTCCCACTCGTGAGATTTAGTTAAAATTACCACTGGCACTTCCCTGCCTACCGCTACCACTACCAGATTATTATGTAATGCGCTAGCAGCCTAATCGACGTACGTAAGAACCTCCCAAATATCGTCCACCATAAGAGTCGACCAAGTAGGGTCTTCGGTACCTATGACCAAAACGTAGATTTGTTGAGGAAGTGACACTGACAACCATTTTTCGTAGATTTATAGTCGAATCAAATTAATTTTATTGAAATAGAATCCACAATTTTAGAATATAATCAATACATAAATGTAGAATCGAAACATGTTACAACCTGTGGAATAATTTGCCCATAAATATAAGAAAAGAAAAAACAAGATCATCATTTCGTATAAAATCTCAGAATTAAACTTTTAAGCAGAGATTAATCATAAGGTTCAAATAATATGATATTCAGTCAAAATAAATGTTCCTGCTTTATTGTTGAGTGTGAATACATAATATAACTTTATACTAGACACTCGGAGAACCAATCCCGACTAGCACTCGTGCTAACTTTTTGTTCTCCCTTAGTTTAACAATCATTTAAAGTTTTTAAGTTTAAAATATCCTTTATTTGAATTACTTATACAGTATTGGAACTCTGTGAATTTCAATTCCAGCCACACTTTTATGTATCTTTAAGGAATCCAACCAAATCTCTACGTATTATTAAGTTATGGCTAATTCACAGATTTGATATACATGATATATGATTAATTTTGTACTGTTTGGTAGGCTATGGATATTTTCTTTTTCTTTGTAACTCATGTTATTCTTTTGTTACCCACTTGAATGCATTTGTAACATAGTGTTATGTTGTTAATAAATTCAAATTCAATTCAATTCAATGAACATTTAAAAAATAGTAGTAGACACATCATTAAAGATCTGATGATCGGTATGTATAAAATCCAGCCCACGCGAGGGCCCTATAGCTATAGCCCTTCATAATGTTATCCAACATAGTGGCCCGTATTCAGAAGTCTGGTTTAAAGTTAAAACAGAATTCAGAATACGGACCTACATGCAGGGGCGTCGCCAAAGGGGGTGGGATGGGGGGGGGGGGGTGCGACACCCCCACCTGTCAGGATATTGTCGGTAAAATTGCGCTGCCGTCGGGAAAAAGAGAAAAGGGGGAGAGAAAAAAAGAGAGGGAAAAAAGAGAGGGAAAAAAAGAGAGGGAAAAAAGAGGGAAAGGGAAAAAAAAGAAAACAAGAAAAGGAAAAGAAAAGAAAGAAAGGAAAAAAAAGGAAAGAAAGGAAAAGAAAGGGAAGAAAAGAGAAGAAAGAAAGAGAAAAAAGAAAAAGAGGGGGAGAGGAAAGAAAGGAAAAGAAAGAAAAGGAAAAAAGAGTGAAAGGGAAACAAAAGAAACGGGGGGGGGGTGAAAGAGAGGAGAGAGAGGGGAGGTAAGAGTCTAAGAGAGGAGGAGTGGGAGTAAAAGAGAGAAGGGGGTTGTTGGGTGGAGTCGTCTCGTCGAGGGAGCAAGAAAGACACGGGTAAATATGTTGCTGTGTCGGGTCAGCTGCATGTGTCGGTATTCTTGCTCGATCCTCGTGTACTATATATCAATGCAGAAGTTTGAAGTCGGTGAGATGTATATTGTCGGTCGGCCGACAATGTTTTTCCCCTACGAACTATGACTTCTTATCCGCTGTGACGACTTCGAGAGTGACTAAAACTACGATACTTGTATTTTCTCGAAGTTTCACTTGCCTATAATATCAGCTAAATAAATCAGAGGTTTAAAATTTTCGGGGAAACTAAATTCAAAACAAGGTTTAAGAGTCAACAACGGTACGACGAATCATTTTCCTTTCTTTATATTGTGATGAAACGCCAAAAATTCCGGGCTTCGCGCGGAGGGGGAAACTTCATTTAGACGAGTCGAGAACGGTACAACGAATCGTCTTCTTTCTCTAATAATTTCAGGAAACGTCAAAGCTTCCGCGCTTCGCGCGAGAGGGGGAAACCGAATTCAGACAAAATTAATAGGGCTTATTTAGGGTCGAAAACGGTACAACGAATCGTGTTCTTTCTCTAATAATTTAACGAAACGTCAAAGCTTCCGCGCTTTGAGCGGGAGGCGTGGGAACTGAATTCAGAAAAGGATAAACAGTCGAGAACGGTACAGCAAATCGTCTTCTGTTTTATAATAATTCAATAAAACGTCTAAGCTTTCGCGCTTCGCGCGGAAGGGGGGGGGGGGGGGGGGACTTCATACAGCCAAGGATTACCAGTCGAAAACGGTACACTTAATCGTCTTCTTTTCCTAATAATTTAAGGAAACGTCTAAGCTTCCGCGCTTCGCGCGGGAGGCCCATCACCCACACCCCACTAATGAACGCGCTTTTAAGTGATTCTCTTGTTCACTACCGCCCCTCCCTAAAATAAGATCCTGTAGCTCCGCGCCTGCATTAAAATATATAGCTATGATGATGACTAAATTGAAGAAATAATTCGTATATTTATGTCGTCGAGGAAAATGACCATTTTGCGCATATGCAAGTACTATATAAATAGTCCATAGGAAAAACAATTTAGCCTTCGGCCCCAGGTTTATAGGGTTGAATTTGTAGATATTGGACATTTAATTTTGTCGATAATTGCATGGCTAGTTTTGTCGGTAATTGTTGGCCTCTACACCCCCCACTGAAAAAGGTCTAGCGACGCCCCTTCCTACATGACATGCAATGTATTGCTTGACAACAAGATGGCCCTGCATAGAGAGAGAGAGAGAGAGAGCGAGAGAAAGAGAGAGAGAGAGAGAGAAAGAGAGAGAGAGAGAGAGAGAGAGAGAGAGCCGGGCCGCAGGCCACGGGTGCATCGGGGGGTTCCCCAAGCGAAAGAAAAGATGAGCTGATTGAAGACCTAGAAAGGAACAAGACCATATGTTGATTTCACTGAACCTATAAATGAAAATAAAAATAGAATTAAATGTATATATACAGGAGTGGTCGAGGGACTTCCAAAGTTGGGGGTGGGGACCAACAAAAAGAGCAAGTATCTGGAGAAATAGGGCCCCTACAAAGGGAAATCTCAAAGCGAAAATATACAATTTTGTAGAAATTGGTATATACCCCTACATTTTGATTACATTATCAGGGATGATTTCAACATTTTGTTTCTCTTTATACACCATGATGATCAAAGATATTGCTTCAGCATCATACTTTGCTCTGATGGTCTGAAAATTCATTATCGAGCAAGCGAGGACAATTTTAAGATTTGTGAGATCGCAGTGCGAAAAATTACATCTTATAAAGAGAAAAACCCAATCCTGATGGAGTTATAAGCATATTCTCATAACGGAAGACTGAAAAGATGATAAGTAACATAATAATCACCTATAAATGCGAGCGTAGCGAGCGAGCTCTCGGGGAAATTGCTCTTAGTTGCTCAAAATTAGGGGCGCGTTTAATGGTCAGAGGAACTGAAGGGGACACTTATCAGAAAAAAAAAGGAGCATGTGTCAAAGTATAATTATGGTGAAAATGGGACATTTCTTACACCTACAAAAGAGACACTCACCAGGGATGAAAAGGGGCACTTATGAGAATAAAAATTGGGCATTTGTGGATGGAAAAGGGGCACCCATCAGATTTTGATAAAGGCATTTATAAGAGATGAAAAGGGACATTTATGAAAAGGGGATATGTCTCTTATTAGAAAGGAAATGGGGCACGTATTATTGTTAAAAGGGAAATTATCATATAGGTGAAAAGTGACACTTATCGCACCTGAAAAGACGCACTAACCGGAAATGAAAAGGGCAATTATGAGAATGAAAAAGGGACAGTTATGATGAAGGAAAATGTGCATTAGTTGAAAGAAAAGTGGCACCGATCAGATTTTGATAGGGGCATTTATCGGACGTGAAGGGGGCACTTTTCTGAAGTGAAAAAGGATTAATTTCTCGTACCTGAAAAGGATCAATGAACAGACATGAAAAAGGGGCATATATGAGAAGGGGAAGGGGCTCTTTTTTGTATGGGGGCACTTATCATTAGAAAAAGGGGCACTTATTAGAAAGGAACAGGTGCACAAGTGAAAAAATAAGGTGCGCTTGTCCGAGTTAAAAAAAGGGGTAGTGATTAAAAGGGGAAGGGACTTCTTACAAAGGAAAAGGGGCACTTGTCAAATTAAAAGGGGCACCTCTAAGATCTTAAAAGGGCAATTATCCGAGTTGGAGGGGGCTCTTTTCGTATTTGAAAAGGGGTACTTACTAGAGATTGAAAGGGGCACTTATGAGAATGGAAAATGGACACATATTATACAAGAAAAAGGAAATTTGTCGAAGGAAAAGGGGCACGTGTCAAAATAAAAGGGGCACTTATCAAAGGTGGAAAAGGGAAGGGGCACTGTTGCAAATTAATAGGGGCACTTGTCAAATTAAAAGGGGTTCTTTTCCTATGTAAAAAGGGGCACTTCTTTATAGTTAAAGGGGCACTTTTCCTATGTTAAAAAGGGGCAGTTTTCGGGTACTGTATATAGGCCTACTGCGTACCACCGAAATAGGTGCGTGATTTGTGATGGTGGCGTACCGTAATCCCTGACTTCGATGGGCCGATCACTTCACTTTTATTTGGGGGCCGCACTGTACGTCACTCAGTCTCAAGCCTCTGAACAACGGTAGGGTGTGGGAGGGGTCCAATAAGTCTTATGTTTCTTGACCTTTCTACTTCTTTCTTATCTTTTCTCTAGATTCCCCTATTTTTGATTTTTTACAATTCGAAGGGCGCTTACAAGTGCCCTCTGTGCCCTTGATGCAATACACCATGCACTGCATGGGCGTGTTGGCCAATACAGGTATAAGTGCGTATATGATATCAGCGAGTTGATATCAAGCCACTCCCGAATTCGGCCCCAATTACCTTGACGATTATATTAATGGACGAGTTGTCAATGATCATTTCGCAGATTGGATGTTGCACAATAGTGGCATAGTCTAGGTCGCAGAGAACAAATCTAATCTACAAGATTATGAAGTATATTTTACCACTTAAGAACAAAATCAAACTTAGATGTTGAATTTTTATCAATTTCGTTTCTTTAGAGTTGCGAGAGAAAATCTTATACATTTTTGTAAGAATCATTTTCAAAAATAAAAATTAATTTGTCTGGAAATAAGTTAGTGCACAAACAACAAAATAGGCGTTGACCTGCACGTTGTCTGTTATTGTTCCCAAAATAGATAATGACAACACGATCCAAATTTGGGTCCCGGGATTCTCGTTGATATAAAGAGGAGCCTATATGCGGAAGTTTCATATTCTTGATGACGCTGGCTTCAGATTTCACTGTTCACCATTTTGGTTTACAATCATCGAGCAGTCTTATTTGATGAAGAGTAAAGAAAGACAAGACACCGAACGGAGTAGAGAATCGCAGAGGCAGGCTAGCGCTACAACTAGTGCAGGAGGCCACTCACCCACCCATTGCACTGTGCAGGGCAAAGCCGAATCCAGCGCCTGTACTACTACATTGAAATTTCAGCTTCCTACTCTTAGCCAGCTTAGCTCAGTGTAAGTACTAAGTGTTCGCATGTACGCTGCTGTTACTGTTAGTACATGTAGTTATCTGACCATACTTTAAAGGTTTAAAATTAGTTGAAACAACAAGTGTACAAGTACATTGAACATTCCAAATTTCCATCTCTGTGGGAAGGAACTATTTTATCCCTATTGCCTCGGTACAGTATCTGGATAAAGAGAAATTCAACCATTTGAAGCATAGAAGAAGACAAATTAGACAATTACTATAAGACTTGTGAAATTAGACTTGTGAAAAAGTGAATGAAATTGGATATTGAGAATAAGAGAGCTGTGAATTTTCCGGTTAAATTCTGAGATCACTAATAATTTAATGAGGAAAATAGTATTAATATTAATAATATAAATGATAATGTTTATAATATTGATAATGACAATGATAATATTAATAATGATGATAATAATAATGATATATTATTATCATTATTATCATCATTGTCATTATCAATAGGATTATCAATATTATTATTATTGTTATCATTATTATTAATATTATTTTTCCCCCAATTTAAAAATGACAAATCTGCAATTATGGTGTATTATGAAGTATTTTTCTCTTTCATTTGCCAAATGACAATATCAGGCCTGGAATTTTTCTAAAGTTTATTGTTTAACAGGACCATAGGGAGGATGAAAAGTGGACATCATGATGTTAACGAACTAGACCTAAAACTCAGTATTTCATTCAGGGATATGTTCCGCTGAGAGTATACAACTGGCTTTCACTTCATTGGCTACCGGTCCATTCTCGCATTACTTTCAAAATCCTACTTCTTTCGTGCAAAATAACACATAACCTTGCCCCTAAATATCTTCTTGACCTAGTCTCCCTTCGATCCTCCTCTTCTGCCAGATCCCTTCGTTCATCTTCCTCCATGCAATTAATTCACGGCCCACGAACAAAAACCTGTTATGGTGACCGTGCCTTTTCATCGATTGCCCCCGCCCTCTGGAACAAACTCCCACCCCATATTCAAAATGCCCCATCCATAGAATCATTCAAAACCCTTCTCAAAACCCACCTTTTTAATCAGTTATAGTTTACTGGAGGCGCACACAAGTAGTTAATTCCATTCAACTCATTTGTATTGTATTGCATTGTATTAGTAATATTTCATTTTACTTTGTTAGTTTGTTGCTTTTAAGGTATTAAACATGTTGAATAATTAAAAGTTAGACAGTACCACCTGTGCGCTTAGAAACACCTGTATAAAGCGCCCTATAAATGTAATTATTATTGTTATTATTATTATGTTTAAGAAATTTTTCTGTCCATAGACGAACATGACTCTGTTTCTATGCAAATTAGAGTTTAGACAGAAATAACTATCTAGTATGGGGAATTCTTAAATAAAACTGACATTTGTCAACCTTATATAGCCTTTAGAGGTGGTCAGTGGAGCCAGATGTAGTCTCAGTGGAACAACCATCGATATTCAATTCAATTCAATTCAATTCAGATCTTTATTTCAGACTCAACTACACAAGGCAGAGGTCCATAAAACATATGTTACATAGATATATAGGGAGTATAAACATGATGAGTATAATAACAACAAATCTTACAAAGAGTATAACTAAACTATACTAGGCCTACGTACAAACAATCTAAACTCTAAGAGTAACATGTAACCTGCAAGGTTGATAACAGCATAACAAACTAACTCTAAGCTGTACCTGTAACTGTAAGATTAAAATAAGTACATGTATTACAATCAATAACAATCTATTGAAGTTGTATCTCGTAACAATCTGTCTCTGTTCAACTAACCAGAACGATAAACTAATAATAAATAACTATTATAAAAAACAAAGAAAAAAGGATACTGGAATCCTTGGTAACAGGAACATAATAATCAATCGCCATGTGTCAGCAGGCTATTCAGTCAAAATTTCCAGAGGCCCGATGTGTACCTAAGACAACTATACGAGGGGTTCACTAACATCTTTAAAATACCATTCTCAGACACATCCACTCTCTGGATGAACTTATACATAAGATTTCGTAATACAGCCGAACAGGCTGGAACACAGACTGAAGCTTTTGGTCTAATTAGAGTTGTGCTTTGCCATGAGTGTACATTGAAAGAAAGAAAACACGCTTTTTTAAACAAAATTTTGGTCGCAGAAAAATCTGACGAGTGAAGTTGTGTAGCTCCTTGCTAAAAATGAAATAAAACCCTAACGACATTTAATTTTGTTTTCTTCTTTATTTTGCAGTAATTCAATATGGAGGCTATAAAGCTCTTAGTGGTTGGCGATGGTGCTGTGGGTAAAAGCTGTCTGTTCATCTCATACACAACAAACAGCTTCCCAAGTGACTATGTTCCCACTGTCTTTGATAACTACGCATCCAATGTGATAGTCAATGGTGTGCCTTATAGTCTGGGGCTATGGGACACAGCTGGTCAGGTATGTATTTCAATTATTGTAATCATAATCTGAGAAAGTTTTGGTGAAGAATTATGTTGATATAAGTTTGTTATCGCATGATTAATAAATTTTAGTCCGTCAAACAAAAATTCCTCAAATTTAGAGTTTAAATGCAATGAAAACATGTCCCTTTACATAAATTTATTCTAATTTTTCTTGCCCTTGGCCAGGGTCGTTTACCCCAGACCCCCATTTAATCTACCTTCTTTCTGGAATTTCTCAGTCTCATCCATGTTATATATAGTCATCTAAAGATTATTTTAAACTAGTTTGTGTTTGAAATGATCAATTAAATTATTAATTTTTTCCATTGTTATTGTAATTCATCAACATCTTTACTTAGTAGCTTTCATTTATATAATTAAATTCTTAAATGAATTAAAACTATCAGGTTACCGTAGCAGAACAGTATTAAATTGCAAAATTTCCAATATCATAATTCTTTTTTTCTTTTTTTACAAGAAAGGACCATTGAGTTCTAGGTCAATTGATATGAAGAGTGATATTTATAATACCAAATGGAATGACGGTTTTGTTTATCCATTTTGAAGGTTTTTTTTATTCTTGGACTGTTTTGCAATGATAATGTGCTAGGCTGCTAGCAAGGTACTATGTTTTAATTTAAGAGAAATTAATGAATTTCCTTTCTTTTTGCCCCATCCAGGAAGATTACGACCGTTTGCGACCCTTGTCCTACCCTCAGACGGATGTCTTCCTTATTTGTTATTCAGTCGACAATAGGGATTCCTTTTTACATGTTGAGGACAAATGGTACCCAGAACTAACCCATTATTGCCCTAAGACGCCAATTGTTCTTGTTGGAACAAAGATAGGTAAGGATTGGAAGAAAAAAAAAGAAAAATCAATTTTAGTCAAATCATGCTATCATCTTAGTTCAGTAAATAAGGTTCCTATTATGTAAAGAGCACGTAATGTATAATAATATAATTTTGACAAGGATGTTTTTGTTTTCAGCATGACATTTTATGAATATGTATTTACACAGCACCTTAGCCAAGTGATGGTATCATGTATTTTTTTACACAAAACAAAAGTCTACTCTAAAATTCAGAAATTTCAGTCTGAGCTAGTAATTGATAAAATGGCAATGTTTTGAAATATTGGGCAATTAATAGATGACATTTTTAGGTGGAAAACTAACAGCAGGTATCATAGAAAAGTATCTAACAGTATTGATATCTAATGAACTTTTTCTGTTGATTGATCAGATCTTCGTGGAGCTAGTACTAGCGGGCAGTTTGTTAGCTTCAATGAAGGAGCTGCACTGGCAGCCAAATTGAACCTTGGCTTTGCCGAGACCAGTTCACTCACGCAGACTGGCTTGAAAGAATGCTTTGATAAAGCAGTAAGTTGAAACTCCTTACCCCGTGTTCAAAAGAAATGCCATACTCTCACAGCTTTCAAGAGGTGTCTCAAAACGCATCTTTTCTAATTTGTTGTAAACTTGTGATATTCCTCTTGGTTTGTAATTGATGTAAGCTTTGTTTGATAATGTTCTCTCTCTTTGCTGTATTGTAAGTATTTTATGTTTATGCACTTTGTGTCTAATGAAAAGGTGCTTCATAAATGTAACAGTATTACTATTATTGCTTGAGTACACACAGAAACAATTGTTAAAAGCAACCAATATTGGTAGAATTGTAAGAATCTCCAGTTAAAGGCAGGGAAAAGCACCTGTCTTACTGGATATGTGTAGAAAACATAATAAATGTGCTCTGAAATGCTTGCATGACAGATGTGCTTGTCATAGACTTTCTTGCTTCATACATGAATATGAATCTTTTTCATCAAGTCAATATATCAATGCATCTTTTTCAAATTCTTTAATTTGTCATAATATGTCAATTATCCAATTCATATGTGTTTTAATTGCAAGCATTTTATGCCATTTTGTGTATTTCTTATATATATCAACTTCTGAAATTGAAATGCTTTCATCATTTTGTCCATTTTCTTGATACAGCTTGAACTTGCTATTAGTAATATGACACTTCAGAAGAACAAGAAGGGTTTCTTTTCCTTTGGAAGTAAATATAAGAAGAACATTCCTGTTCCTCCTGCTATGCCTCCAACTGGTGAGAATTTTCTTTTTTTCTTCAAATAAAGTAGTTATTTTCATCCATTCTTGGAAATCATTGTTTCAAGTAGTGGTCAGTTTTGTCAAGGTCTTGCCATAGGTATGGAAGTTACTATTGTCAATGACTCTACTGGACGTAAACAATATGAATGATTGAAATCCCCTGAAAGAATATAAAGTACAAAACCATATGTGGATAACAAAGTATGCAATGAATCGAATCGAAATGATATATTACATAAAAACACTATAACATCATTGAGCTGTTTTTCAGTAGAATTAATAATGTACAGTAATTGATATGAAACACATTCTTAACAAATAACAGCAAATATGAATAATTCACCACAATTTGATCAATACTAACACTTTGGAGACGACGGGCTTCTACAGAAGCCGAGCGAGTTGTTAAGTCTGTGACGACGATCTTCTACAGATGCCGAGATGAGTCCCTACTATTTTGACAAAGTTTTCCAGCTTATTCTCAGCTATTATGTGCTAAAGTTCTTTGAAGTAATATTTAGATATATTCATTCATCTCATCTTCTAAAAAAATAATAACGTTACATGGAAAAAAAAATCGAGAAAAAGTGATATCATTTCAACTTTACCCTAAGTTAGTGCTCGGATCGAAAAAAGGCCCTCGAAATACCCGTACAGCTGGAGACGGACGCGTACGCGCTCGTCCATTCTTTATTCTTGCCAGGATTTCAAATCTTCGCATTGTCAGTTCGATTTCGACCGTGATTCCTTATTTATATTTATCTACCCTACCTGTGTGGCATTTTTTCATCATATACTAATCCAAGCCTGAGAGGGAGAAGAAGATAGAGGGATAGACTGAGAGGGGAAAGAAGAAAGAGGACATAGATTTTTACATTTTCTCATTGACAAGACTTGTTTATGGGGAAAAAAACCCGGATAGATAAGGATATGAAAATCAGGTTGAATATTTCCATATGTTATCTAGAAGCCTGTCGTCTCAAAAGTTTTGACTCCACATCTATCTTTTACGTCATTGTATTTATATGACAATACGCTTTTCATTTTATCAACTTGACCAATTTATTGAATCATTCATGTATGGACCTCCTCTTTTATGAAAGGCTTATCTCAGCTGCCCTGCGCTAAGGCCTAAGGGGGACAAAAGAATGTAAAGAAGTAACTACTCTGGAAGATTGCCGTTTTGAAAGAAGAGGATGTAGGCGTAAACGTAGGTCAATAGTTCAATCTACATGACAATACAAACAACCACTTTAACTTATATACCTTTATGAGGGCATGTAACAATTTTTAGAGCAGGTCTTGGTTTGAGCGGGCTTATGAAATGTTCAAATGTTTTGTTCTGAAAAACGACCCCTTACTCTTCCTCTCTCTCCCCACGGAATATCGCTCTTGTCTTGAGCAACTCCGGCGGTAAAGCCACGAATATGAGACTTTTCCTGGGCAAAGATGCTAACATTGTTGAAAAAAAATGCAAGGCAACATAAAAACAAGTTTTCTGGCAATGAAGAAAAGCGAGTGCAGAATGAAGAAAATAATTGTTATTATCATTACTATTTTATTACAAAAAATAAACAAAATTAAGCGGGAGGCAAAAACTAAAACAAAATGAATATTTCAAATTATGAGAAACAAAGTTAAAAGCATTCAAAGTAAATATTATTTTTGTTTTCAAGAATAAAACAATGTTCATCTCAAAATTCATTTCCCAAATAGTCCTTTATTTGATTTGCACATTTAAAAGAAAGGGCATTTAGTGTAGATCATGGCATAATGTTTGTCAGAATATAGTTACAAAATGTGTCGAAAACCCATGTAAAACGAAAGGTTAGGCCAATTATTCATGGCTCCGTTTATAATCGGCCGAGCTTTAGGAGAAGACAATCATTGACAAAGGGGAAATGAATGGAGGTATCAACCGATCTGCGCGTGCGGCGGTGCTTACGCAATTTGTATGGTGAGTTTATTGAAAAGGAAAGACGTGAAGCTTCAGCAAAATAAGACGGCAATTTCCCTCGTAAATAACCGACCTTACGTTTCGTATTGATGAACAAAACTTATATTTTTAGAAAGAAAAAAGGCTGATCTTTTTTTACATTTACAAAAAATCACGAAAATGACTGAATGAGGCGCAATGAGCAATGAAAGTAGAAAGCACCGCCACATTTTCCATTACTGGCGATGTAACCGAAATCGCTCCATCACAGGGGAAACAATCGCTGTGCGCGGGCTCGCTCTCAAAGGGCTAAGGTCATGATAATGAAATGGGATAGAACGATTGGAGAGAAAGAAAGGTTTTAAAAGAAAATTCAACCCTTTTTCAATTCAGTCCTCTGCGCATGCCCATAATTAACATTAACATTAACATAAATGAATATGTATACGATTCGTAACAGTAATAATAATAATAAAAATGGTGCTTATAAAATATAAAGCGCTTACCACTTACATTTATGTATGTATGAATGGCAATCTGGATTCCTTTATTACTACCATCCTCTAATCACCCAATTGTCCTGGTTTCCCTTTCAAGGTCTTGCACCATGGATTGAGATCAAGACATCCACCTTAGGAGCAGATATGGCTACTATCCTTGATGACCCAGCTGAAGCAGATGTAGTCTTCCATTTAGATGATGGGAAGAGTCAAGCAGCTCACAGATTGGTGCTTTGTAGTGCATCAGATTTCTTCTGTAGAGTCTTTGAGCAGAAGCTACCTAAGGTAGGCACAGACCAATCGTTTGCTAGATCAAAGAGGTGTTTCACAAAGACTAAGATCATTTTTAAGTTGGACTTAACTATAACAGGCCATTCATGCCACTGGTTGTTCTCACTGTTTGTCTCTTAATTATGATCTTTAGATATTATTTTTCCCTTCAATAATGAACTATCAAAAAATGTAAATTCTGTAGATTTTTCACCACGATTTATACGTCCCTGGTGAGAACAATGCCAGTAAATGGTGAGAGCACACAGTGGCATGAACAGCCTGCCATAGTTGAGTCCAACTTAAAGCCGATCTTAGTCTTTGTGAAACACCCCCTAAATGATTTAAGCCCTCTCAACTTATGCTTTGTTGGGTGCCAATCTGCCCCATGCTCGTGATCCTTAAAAGCTGTAAGAACCACTCTGCAAGAACCACTTCAAAGAATCATTAAAAAAATGTACATTCTTGTACTCTCAAAACATCAAATTTACATCAAATTCCTATGCTTATTCACCTGTATATGAGATGCTTCCAGAGTTCTCTATACATTTGCCAATGCAGCTTAGAGTTTTATCATAATATATATCTTCATCATGATCATTATCATGATATAAAGAAATTTAATCTTTCGAAAGACACATAAACAATGCTAGAAGTGTGTTCCAGAAAGATTTTTTTTAATAAAGTGAAACTTATGATGCATGGCTGACTTAAACCATGCATTTGTTTGATTATATCATGTTCATGTAAGAACCACAAACTATGAAGAAACAACCATCCAAATTTCAGGTTCACCTTGTTTTATAAATTCCTTGTAAGACCAAATTTGCTTGGAATGTCATTCGATATATCAAGCATGCAATCTTATATAGTTAAGGAATTGTAAGTTTCTTTAAATAAACTTGCCTTCATCATTATACCCTAATTTCGTTATCTGTTAACAGGTTGAGCAGGAGGACAGAGCGGTGCGTGTTCCTGCATTTACCTGGGATGAGATCAATAGTGGTAGCATAGCAGGTATATCTAGCATCAAGCAAGCAGAAGAAGGGGTTGGGCACCAGATTGATGTTTGTCTTTCTGCTGATATCTCTTCAAAGACATTCACACACATACTGAGATTCCTCTATGCAGGTTTGTAGTCTTATTCCATGTTATGAATCAATCCACCACTTTTTCTCTGTGTGTTTCTATGAAACTCTGTCTTATTCATTTTCTTTGGATACCCTGAAATATGGTAGATATCATTTATTTAGAGATATAGCAATTGTCCCCTTTATTCATGTACTCAGTATTGTCAGTGTTGCTTTCATCCCTGTGTATGCAGTAGGGAGGCGTAAAAGCTACTGTATTAGCTGCTATTTTCGTGAGGGTTTTTTTTCTGTGAATTTCGCGAATTATCAACACGCGAAAATATTGCCACCTCATCATTCCGGAGTGGGAAAATATCGCTCTCTCAAATCTTGCTTATACAGTACATTTGGGAGACAGGAAGTAGTCCTCATAATCAGAGTCAGTTCAGTAAATGAGATGATTTAAAGATCTTAAAGTTCTTTTCAGATCTATAACCAGGAGGAATTATAAATTTCTTTTAATAACTAACACATCTCTCCAAGAAAGAATACTCTGGCAGTATTTATAAGGACCACACACATGGTGTACCCATTGGAGTTTTCCTCACTCAGGATGACATCTTCCTGAAATTCTGACTGAAAGAAATGTTATCTTTGTGTTTTACAGGTATTCCTAATGTAGACGAAGACACTCCGGAAGCTGAATTAGATTCTCTCTTGAAGGCAGCAGACGTCTTCTATCATCCTAGACTCAGGGAAATCGTCTCCAACATCCAGAATAGTGAGGAGTTCCTTAACCCCAGCATTGGCACATACCTTAACGACCTTACAGGTCAGAGGTCAAAAGAGATGTTCTTCAGGAAGCCTGTATTTTCAGATGTACAGTTTGAAGTAGAAGGTAAGTGTTAGCTTCTATAAATAAGGAATAACGTATTTGCCGCGATAAGGCCACAGCGCCGCATAGGCCGCACCCCCCCCCCCCAACTTTGACATTTCAAAGAGGAAAAAAAAAACAAGGAAAAAGAACAAATGAACGAAACAAAATAACCATAATTTTCTCATAGAACACTTTTTTTTCTTTCTACAAACTGATACCAAATTCATCAATATTCTTAGGAATTATAGGAAGTGTACCTAAAAAATGATCGCAGGCAGATTTGGTATCCGATATATACCCCTACCATGATGTACGGTTTAATGCAAAATTGCATGAAATGGATACAAAGATCAGAAAATAGAGTTGGTGCACGGTGCGACTTCGGCTGGATACGCGGCAGCTCCGTAACGTTCCCTTCTTTTACTTTTTAGCGATGCATTGGCACAAACTTGGATCAAGATCTATCGGCAGATGTTGTTTTATGAAGTTTATTTTCGTCTTCATGTCAACAATGCAAGATAAAATTGTCAGTAAGATGTGTGGAAATGTCCTGTACCATAGTGGTATAGTTATTGCAGTCCCATAAGTACAAATTTGTGCTGTTTTTGCATGGTTTTGACTTGCAATATTTTACTCATGCGGCGCAAAGGCCGCACCCCGACCTTTTGATATTTTCTCTTCCAAAAATACTGCAGCCTTTATGCCGGCAAATACGGTACCCCTACACTATCACCCTATATAAGACAACTATTCCCATGATGATTATTCTCTAGGACAAGTACCTTTCCAAAAGGCAATTTTCCCCTGGGACAACTACTTCTTCATAAAAGATTACCCCTGGACAACTATCCCCCTAGGACTTCCCCTAGGACATCTACCCATGGACGACCAGCCTAGGACAACCACATCCTAGGACAACTACTTCTTCATCAACATTTAACCTATGGACAACTACCTCCTAGGACCACTAGCCATGGACAACTAGCATAGGACAACTACATCCTAGGACAATTACCTTTCACTAGACAATTACCCCTTGCAAAACAATCCCACAGGATAATGATTTATATTATAGCAAGAATGTTGGAGCATGTATATTAACATAGACCCCATTGTTTTTGTTGCCTTGACAGGTCAGCTCCTGTATGCACACAAGGCCATCTTGAAGGCTCGCTGTGCTGTCATGGCAAAAATGTTCAGTGGCGTCTTTGCAGAAAGTTCAACAAGCAAGGTAGGTATCTACATCTGTCATATGTCAGATGAAGGAATTAGATCTTGAAACAGTGATGATAAAGCTGTATTGTTATTCCCAAGGCATCGTTGATATATTGATAATAAAATGACAGCTATTAATTAATCACAGCTAATAATGGAACTGTTATGGCCAGGTCCAGGCTTCATAAAACTTGTTATCAATAACAAATGCTACATTTATATGACAAATTTGCTCTCGGTCGATTAAATGCCACCTGTTCAGTAGCTTACAACTGTTATCAAGTGTGTTGGCTCAGTCAGTAGAGCGTCCGCCTCACAACCAGGAGGTCGTGGGTTTCGAACCCCGGCCGCGTCATACCAAAAGACGTTAAAAGACGGGAGTTGCTGCTACCTTGTTTGGCGTTCAACAATAAGGGATAGAGCAACATCGATCTGGCGCTGCTCAGTGGCAGCCGGGCTCACGATCAATTGGGCAAAAAGAATTTCCATATTCGGTTTAACTTAATACAATTTGGAGTGGACTTTAAATGATTATTATTATTATTATTATTATAATTATTATTAGATAAACATCATATAGTGTTTTCCCCTGAGTATTGGTCATGGTTGATAATTCAAAAATTTTCAACAAGTCAAATGCCATATGATTTGAATTATTACTTGTGCCTCAGTTATGCAAAGTAGTGGTCTTAAATGCACACACCCAAATTCATAGCCAGATATTTGTGTGAAAAAGGAATGAAATAGAGTTGGACTCTTTCTCCCCCCCCCCCCACCATCTTATCCCAGATCCCCATTCTCGAAACAAGCATGGAATGCTTCATGGCTATCTTGGAGTACATCTATACCGACCACGCCCCTATAGAGGAAGGTGACGCTGTTGGTATCCTGGTCACGGCCGAGCGGTTTGCTCAAGACAGGCTCAAGAACCTGTGTGAGCTGTACATCACCAAGGAGGTGGATGTCAGTGTCAGAGATCAGATTGAGAAAGCAGATATTGATGTCATAGGTCTCCTGCAGACAGCACAGGTAAATAATGGCAGTTTAATTCGAATCAAATTTTTATGGAAAAATCTATGAATGAATTCTTTAGATTTACAACAGCGCTGAAGAACCTGGGGGTGTTTCTCAAAGAGCTGGACTTAAACATTGTGCAGAGCCATTTGTAACCTTAATGAGATAAATATATTCAAAAGCAAAAATTCAACTATTTTAGACTTTTCATAAATTCCACATTTCCATATCAAGAACATGAAATCTCCTCGATAATAGAAAAAAACTTTTACAAATTATTTTAATAGATGCTAACGGCTTTCCATAATTTTTAAGTCCAACTTAGAGATAAGTTAAACTTAGGATCTTTGTGAAACACCCCCACAAAGATTTTAAGTCGAACTTAACTCTAAGTTGGACTTAAATAATATGGAGAGCCATTTGTAGCCTTAAATAAAATATATTCAAAAGTAAAAATTTGAGTATTACAGACTTTTTATAAATTCCACATTAAGAACATGAAATCTCCTTGATAATAGAAAATATGAATGAATTGAATCAACATTTTATGCCTTTTAAAATAACTTTTACAAATTATTTTAATAGATGCTAACGGCTTTCCATAATTTTTACGTCCAACTTAGAGTTAAGTTCGACTTAGGATCTTTGTGAAACACCCCCCTGGTGGTGTATTTTTAAATCATGATGATCCATCAGTCAAAACATGCAAGTTCCTTCATCGCTGGAGGTGTGTGGGATTGTAGTCATTCTATCAACTTGCCGAAGTCTCAGATTGTTGAAAAATGTTCACGTAATGAATCACATTTTTTCCTGAGGTGATGTTGTTGATCATTTGCATATTCTTTGTCATATTTGTGTAACTATTCACTGTTCATGTTTCGATCTCTACACGTATGTAAACATGTCACTATATTTATTCATTACATTGGGCTAATGGTTAACAGATCAAAGTATCTCCATAAGCCATTAGTAGCATGACAATTGATCTAACACTGCCCAAGTAGATGAATGGTTTTGATACTACATATTGTTTTTGATAATTTGCATACAGTATTCTTTGTCATACAGTGAAACCTGTCTATAAAGACCACCCAAGGGAGACAAAGAAAAGTGGCCTTTGTAGACAGGTACCTTTAATACATGTTTCAATGAAAAACATTTTTAAGGGAAACAAAAATGTGGTCTTTGTAGACAGGTGGTCTTTCTATACAGGTGGTCACTAAAGCAGGTTTGACTGTATTTGTGTAACTATTTCACTGTTGATGTTTCTTTACACAGATGCACAATGCCGATCAGCTGTCGGCGTGGTGTCTCCATTTCATCTCGTCTAACTACCTGGCATTTGAGAGACGTGCCGAGTTCAGTCAGTTGGAAGGAGACAACCTTGCACACGTCTCCGACAAGAGATGGCCACCAGTCAAGTATCTCGAGGAGGTAGAGATCTGGGAATCAAAGTACGGGGACAAGAAGAAGAAATCGGACGAGAAATGCTCCGTCATGTGATCAGGTGGACGGGATATGGGTTACCATGACAACTAACACAAAGGCTGGAACACTGCCCAAAGCTTGCTGTTGTTGTTGTACAGCTTTAAGTCTTTGAAGTCAAAGAGAGCATTATATCAACTTAATATCTCTGTGGTAGTCGGGTTCAATCCTTCAAGAATAGTCCAAAAGAAGGTCAACATTCAATAGTTTTAAATGTTATTATTTTTGTAGCATGTATTTCATTCTTTATCTGTGTGTACATAAAAAGTATCATTTCAAAATTTAAGATGTTGATGTTAATATATATTTTTGGTGGTATATGAATGTGTTGAAACTACATGTATGTACCCTGTGCTGAATAGTATACAAATAATCAACGTTTATGAGTTCAATAGTGCAATTATTTTCATAAAAAGAACTTCTTCTCTCGAGGCGTCAGCAGAGTTGAATAGAACATTTATCTGCCAACGAATGAAGATATTCACAGAACTATGCTTTGCTCCTTATATTAGTAATAAATCAAATTTGGAGTCAGGCCTTCTCGATAACATTCAGATTGCCTTTGTGTGGGATGCGCACAGCTAAGACGATGAAAATAATGGAATACCCACAGGGCAGGGAGGTACGCAGTCTAAATATAACCAAAAATGCACCCTGAATAGTACAAAAATGCACTGCGAATATAACCAAAATGCATGCTCAATGACTTAGTCGTTCAATATATTATTTATTGAATATCATGTAACCAACAATCCTCTAATCAAATGACAAGGATCTACTTACCGTAAACATATAATTTTTTCTAGTTTTATACTTTTTATACTTTTATTGAATATTGCAAGTGATGTGCTCTAGTGACAACATTGGTGTAGAATGCCATTACATGTGACTTGCTTTCATTCAGCTTCATGTGACTGAATGCCTTTTACCCTGGTTCAAAGGCAGAGGTTGTTCAAGGTCAAAGGTTGCTCAAGGTCAGACTGATCTATGTTTTGTGCCATGAGAAGAAGCAGTTAAAGACTGGACACCAAGTTTGGAGAGGCTGAGGAGTGTTGATTGTACATAAATGATTACGTTTGCTTTTTTTATTCTTAAGTGCTTCACAAGCCCCTGCTGAAAACCAGGAGGGCGTAAAGAGCTTTTACCCATAATTAAAGCCCATCTTGCTTTCCGAAGACGAAATTCGTGAGATGTGGAGTTAGCTATTCCAGTTACAGAAATACAAAATGTAGGTGTGAGTAGTGTCTTTTACCCACCGACAACCAGGGCTCTGTTTCTTAAAATTTGTTATCAATAACAAATGGGGCCTATCACCACGAAATGAGTCCAGTTGGTCAAAAATTTTATTCCTGTTTTTAAGTATTATATGAATCTACATTAAGTAAGCTTTAAATTAAGGGGTCACACATTAAAATTGATAAATTATATCCAGAAATATGAACAAAAACCTAATTGGACTTTATAACAATGGGATTACCCAGGTTTGAGATAATTAGGTGTAAAGTTAATGATGCGTAACATTTTATAGTCTGGTCAACAACAACATAGCAACAACACACTTCCCATCATTCGATTTCAATGAAACTTTCAACAAACAAAGAAATAATAAGTCGATTTTTGGAAAAATCTTAAATGTGGTAGGTGGGTCAATTTTCAGTACATACACACTATACATCGCTATTACTACGATTGAGCCTAATGCGACACTGGACTCATTTCGTGGTGACTGGCCCCAAATGATAAATATCTATTAAGCGTTTCCTCTACCAATCAAATGCCATGATTTCAGTAGCTTTTAATAGCTATTGTAACTTGTTATCAATAACAAGTTTTATGAAACAGGGCCCAGATCTTTTTTGATATCCCTACCGATTTGCATCATTCCTTAACAATTGACCAATGTTTTTGTGGTACAACAACTGAATGTCATAAGGAATGATATTCATGCATGTATGTGTGCTTTAAGAAATGTGGCGTCTCTGTATAATATGTCCGTTTTTGTTATACAAGATTGTTTGCCACAACAAACATGTATTTGTCTTGTCTAAGTAGTTGAGCATTTATTGAAACAAAAGTTTTCAACAAATAAAAGAGATTTGTTACACTTTTTCCATTTGTTTTATGTATGCAGTGTTCATACTCTAAAGGCACGTTCAGATATGATGCAATAAAACCGCCGCAAAAAAAACTGCTTCAGTGAGCGCTGTGTTATATAATACAGAAATAACAAGCGTTTACATATTGCATCATTTTAAAAAAACCCACCCTGGTTTTACTGCATCATATCTGAGTGAGGCCTACCATTGTGATGTTAATGTGATGTAGTTGTATTGTATTGATATCTGATTAAGTCATACATGTATGTTGTCTTTTTTTTAAATGTGCCTATACCATACAAGGAATGGAGATATTTTCTTTCCTATGAATTATGTGAACATTCTGAAGTAATCGTATTTAATTATCTGCCTATTATATACATGCAGGATGATAGGAAATACTGAAAGCTGTAAAGTTGGAGATATTGTCTGTTTTATTGCCAGAAAAGTGTTAACTTTGTGTTAGGGTATACAAATAAACACCCTCCCAGCTCAAACAGACAATATTAAGAGCTACTACATTTCTTTTTTTAGTTTCTCCTTCTAACTGTCGCCCCCTAGTGGCAATACACCATGTGCACCAGAATTCATATTAGTGCAATCTAAGAAAATTGATATTTTCACAAGTTATTGTATTTTTTAAAGCATTTGCATTTAAAAGTTGAAATATTTTTATATCTTTTTTAAAATGGAAGTTTCCATTTACAATACATGTATAGAATGGACTTGGTGATAATGTATGTATGAAGACTGTAAAACAAGGGTTAAGATTAGAGGGTAGTCTAACAGGGAAGAAATTTGAAATACATGTAAATGTAGTACACTAGGAAATGAAAGATATTTGTTTTCATACAAATTAATTTGCAACACGTATAATGATGTAAACTGAATAGTGGACACCCAGCATTTTTTGTGATTTATTTTAAAAAGAAAATCATATCTGAATCTGAATAATGTTATAAAAATATTCTTCTACAAAATGATTATAGACTCTTTGCTTTGCTTATTAATCAAATGTTCAATTTTTCTTTGTTCCGCTCATTAATCTTTTGAAAATAGCTGAACATTTTTGAGTCAATGTGCATCCTGTCTCATAAATGTATGATTGCTTGCAGAGAGAGTAAGAACAATCAGTTTTATCTTTACAAGGTCATAAATAACAAGGGTTCAAAAGATCACGACGTTATGTTCGATACTATATCCGCAATGAGTAATGCATTAATAATGCACATATTCACATATTTTTGTTGTTAAATGTATATAGATTATCTGCCAATGACTTATTGCCAACTTGTATTAAATAATTTGCTAACATATGTATATAAATAAATGTCAGAGACATTTTTGAGACATAGCAATAAACATTTATACTCTCTATCATTTTATATTATGAAAAAAGAGGAATGTGTTTTGCATTATGGAATTTCAACTACTTGTACATAGGATGACCCAGGGAGAGGAGGGGGGGGGGGGGTAACACACTATGAACATGGTGGACAAAGAAAGCATACAAAATATACAGTTCCTCAGGTAGACAAAGGAACATCCCTTCACTGCTATTATGTAAACATGTGTAGAACAGGTGAATATGCATGTGACACCTGTTCCACACATTTTTACATAAAAGCAGTGAAGGGATGTTCCTTTGTCTACCTGAGGAACTGTATATTCATAGTGACAGCTGCCCCAAACTACTAACAAAAAAAGTATCACAAATATTTCAATGTTCAAACAACAACTTCCTAGTTCAAAGTCTAATTGAGGAGTAGACTATACCCGGAGACTATATCGCTGCAATGACATTTTTCGAACAGAGAGAGAGAGAGAGAAAGAGAGACAGACAGAGGAATCCAAGGAAAACAAAACGTCAGACAAATATAAAAAGTTTACTGTCTTTAAACAAAAATACTCTCCTACAAAATATTTATAAACTCTTTGTTTTGGTCTGCTCATTAATCTTTTGAAACTAACTGAATTTTTGTATTCAATGTGTAGCCTGTCTCATTATGTTGCCTTAGGAAGGTCATACATAGCACCAATAATACACATATTGGCGTATGTTTGTTGCAAAATGTATATATTCTCTGCCAATGACACGTTCCAAACTTGTATTTAATAATTCGCTGACATAATCATGTCTATAAATAAATGTCAGAAACACTTTTGAGACATAGCAATACACATTTATACTTTCAATCATTTCGTTCAAAGTGCAATAATGAAGAGTAGACTGTTCCTGACAGTAAAATTGACACAAATTAGAGAGAGTGAGTGAGAGAGAGAGGGAGAGAAAGAGAGGGAGTGAGAGAAAGGGAATAAGAAATCCTCATTCGAACATAAGAATGTTTTATATATAACGTTTAAAAAATAAAATGCGAACACATATGTATGAAAACAAATTGCAACCTTCATGTTGCTATCTTAATGTCTGTGCGTTACTAGCAGTCGGAAAGGAAATAAGAATACATGGTCTCTTCTAATGAATGAATTTGCTCGGTCCATAGTCCGTCTCGCAATCATGCACAATTGTCACCAATATCGGAAAACCATTATGTACGTCTCAAACAACAGTATTGAATATTGTACCATATACTACCAACTAGATATTGCCATCACTACATTGAATCATGTCTAATTACATCGGATTGAATGTCGGTGGAAAGATATACCGGACATCTCGTACTACATTGACCAGTACGCCCGGGTCATTCTTCAATTTGATCCTAAATGGCGGCATACCGTCTGCCCAGGATGAGCAAGGAAACTATCTCATTGATCGCGATGGCGATATTTTCAGACATATTCTCAATTATTTGAGAAGCAACATTCTTGTACTTCCAGACGGATTCAATGAGCTTCAACTCCTGGCGTGCGAAGCTGACTTTTTTCAGCTGGATACACTGAAGGAAGAAGTCCTGAGAGTAGTTCATCAGATCATCGGGCTGAATGTTGGCGGGAAGATCTACCAGACAACCAGAGAAACACTCTTGAGAGCCCCCCAGGGTTACCTGGCAGCCATCGTAAGTGAAAAGGGTCTAAACATGGCCAGAGACAAAGATGGAAACTTTTTTATAGATCGAGACGGGAAGCTGTTTCGCTACATCCTCAACTTTTTACGCGAAGGAGCTTTGATTCTGCCTACAACATGGAATGAATTCAATTTCAATCTCCTTATGAACGAGGCAACCTTCTTCCGGATTCCTGAAATCGGTGAACACGTAAAGAGTATGAACAATTTCGATGAGAACAGGAAGGCGGCCGTTTGTTGAGGTCTTAAAGTGTAACATGGTCTTAAAGTGTAACACGACTCCCTAGCTCCTGAAAAAATAGTCCCTGTGTTGAACATGCGTACGTGGAGCTCGCAGACGCACTTTGTACTTTGAAACCTAGCTAGCTAGCACATCAAACAGCTGCATTACTATCCTGGCCAGTGTATTAGAAACTCTTTTTAGGCCTACGTTTGTCAATAGACGAGGACCCTTTTCTCTTTCTATATGTTACACAGGCTTCCTATGCCTGCGCCGGTTCAATTAATTAAGATTAGTAAACACGGAGATCCATTAAAATACATAAGTCTGAAACATATATTTTGTGCCAATGATAATTCCAAAGAGGTATTTATTAGTATTCAGTGTCAAAGGTACACCGATAATAAATTCCCAGTGTGACAACTGGCATTTCGATTTCAAACAACAATATTACAAAAAACAGCTACATGCAAAGCTTTACAATGTTTATTACAAGAATGATAGCAAAAGAGCAAAGTAAACTACACTGTACAGTAGAAACATATTAGGGAATAGAAGAAAAGAATAGATGTTCATATGAAGTACAAATGATAAAACACAAGTCGTTCGTCAGTAAGCACTAAATACATCGATCAGGCGGAGAGCGTTGCCTGAACAACGACAGCAGTCCCAACTCTTGTCCCGAGGGAAATGGAAGTGGAACCATGGTGTAACCATGGTGAAACTGTTAAGAAACAAAATCAAGGCAGGTCTTAAAAAGCTGCGACATAGTAACTTCTGGGGGAAGTTACATCACACGTCTATCTGCCTTGAAGTCTAAACTTGCTCTCCTACTTAATCAATAATAATTCTTCTTTATATGGAACACAGTAATTCAACAAAAGTATTTATCGTCTTACAAGTAGTTATTGGGCTATCACTAAACTATCTAATCAAAAGTATTTTACAATGACTGAAATATCTGTAAATAGGTCTGGCTTGTGGAAAGTAGTATCTTAATTCATACTTAGTCACAACCATCTTGTATCAAAAGTTAATGGATAAACACATGAAAATATAACAATGGTTTTCCAACGTAAGGAGAATCACACTAAACAGTATCGTACAATTCATTCAAATTGCATGAGGATCTTATGATTTCTCTATAATTTACTAGAATAAAACATGAATATACTTTTAGGAAGGTGAGTGTTCGCTTACCTGTTAAGAAACAAAATCAAGGCAGGTCTTAAAAAGCTGCGACATAGTAACTTCTGGGGGAAGTTACATCACACGTCTATCTGCCTTGAAGTCTAAACTTGCTCTCAACGAGAAAGCCAATCTTTCTTCCAAACCAGGCAAACAACCCCACTATTCCCTATCCCCAAGACAAAGGGGTACCAGTAAGTGTATCCACTGGTCATTCATGATTTATGTACTCTACGAATAAAGGAAGTGGTCTGGGTTTAAGACATAAACAAGGCCTATAGAATAGGGGTCTTTTTGTTCCCATCTCTTTGTTTCACCAGTAGCATATACCAGAGAGGTGATCTTAATAGAAACATAGTGTAAAGGTACACTTTAAATAGGGGTTCAACAATTTAAAGTAATATAAGCTTACTCAAAAATTAGAAAATAGGTTTACTCAAAAAATAGAATATACCTTGATAATAAACAGGGTCTGACACTCTCCCCTCCTAGAATCATGGCGTCCCGACATCTTTAATTACAAGTCAATACAATGATAAATTTCCGCAGACTTTTAGAGGACAGAGAGAGATTGACCAATCTCATACTTTCCTACCTAGATGGCAAGATGTAATTCTCTGTAGATGACCTCAACATTAGGTACACCTCTTCAGTCAAACACTGCATCCAGCCGAATGATTCCTCCTGCCACTATGCTTCATTCTTGGGTAGAATGAGCTTCACCCGAAAGGTGGTGGCAGGTAAGGATTTCATTGGTTTGGTGCTAACTTGTCCAATAAAACTTGTAAAATAAAAATAACCAGTGCCAGCGTTGTCGTCTCTGACTGAACGCAAACCTAATTGTCAGTGTGGAAGTGCAGATGGGCCTCGATGTACCCAATGTATGGAACTTCTGATTTCACCTGCACCAAACACAAACAGGTCGTCATGGATTCCAAGTGACGATGCGCTAACTTCTTGTGATAACAATAAGCAGATATGCATGTCACTTGGGATCGACCCAGTGTCCATAAGGCACTCATAGGGCACACACTCCGTTAACCTCAGCCCAGACAGTGAATTGGGTACCCACTCGTGCGGCTGGAGATTTATCAGATGTGGCCTGATGAGATGGCGTCATCTGCAAACTCATAATTGCAGATCGCCTTATGGGACACTTCTTAGGTTTATCTTTGGCCACCTGTTCGGCCAGAAACTTCACTAGCTCTGCCTTAAACTTAGGGTTAGAGTCAGACATTTTTTTAAAAAGATTACAAAGCTAATTAAACTATCCAAAAACAGGGTTAACAAAATAGTTTAAGATATTGAGGAGACTATAAACATACCATTTATAAAACCAATCAAGATTCTAAAAAGTGCTAATTATTATATAAAAAACAAAAATAATTAAATGATGATAATATATAGTAAAATAGAAACCACAGTAACAACTAAGCTGGACAAGCTACCCCTTGTTTACTGTTACGCCTGTCAGTAGTAGGGCTGCTACTGATTTGACCTGAACAACAGCAACAAAAATTGATTAGGTCACACTTCAAATTATTAAGACCACTTTCAAATATACGCTATGTCCAACTTAGTGTTTTACAAGTTGTGGCAATCAACACAACAACAATCATACACAGAATATTGTTAATCTCGATCTTCTAAGCAAGGAGAGATACTTAATTAAAAGCAATGAAAAAGGTATTTTCCTTTTGGGAAAAACAACTAATATTTTCCAAGAAAATTTAACATCCGGGCAGTGCCTCCATTTGTTACACAGGCTTCCTATGCCTGCGCCGGTTCAATTAATTAAGATTAGTAAACACGGAGATCCATTAAAATACATAAGTCTGAAACATATATTTTGTGCCAATGATAATTCCAAAGAGGTATTTATTAGTATTCAGTGTCAAAGGTACACCGATAATAAATTCCCAGTGTGACAACTGGCATTTCGATTTCAAACAACAATATTACAAAAAACAGCTACATGCAAAGCTTTACAATGTTTATTACAAGAATGATAGCAAAAGAGCAAAGTAAACTACACTGTACAGTAGAAACATATTAGGGAATAGAAGAAAAGAATAGATGTTCATATGAAGTACAAATGATAAAACACAAGTCGTTCGTCAGTAAGCACTAAATACATCGATCAGGCGGAGAGCGTTGCCTGAACAACGACAGCAGTCCCAACTCTTGTCCCGAGGGAAATGGAAGTGGAACCATGGTGTAACCATGGTGAAACTGTTAAGAAACAAAATCAAGGCAGGTCTTAAAAAGCTGCGACATAGTAACTTCTGGGGGAAGTTACATCACACGTCTATCTGCCTTGAAGTCTAAACTTGCTCTCCTACTTAATCAATAATAATTCTTCTTTATATGGAACACAGTAATTCAACAAAAGTATTTATCGTCTTACAAGTAGTTATTGGGCTATCACTAAACTATCTAATCAAAAGTATTTTACAATGACTGAAATATCTGTAAATAGGTCTGGCTTGTGGAAAGTAGTATCTTAATTCATACTTAGTCACAACCATCTTGTATCAAAAGTTAATGGATAAACACATGAAAATATAACAATGGTTTTCCAACGTAAGGAGAATCACACTAAACAGTATCGTACAATTCATTCAAATTGCATGAGGATCTTATGATTTCTCTATAATTTACTAGAATAAAACATGAATATACTTTTAGGAAGGTGAGTGTTCGCTTACCTGTTAAGAAACAAAATCAAGGCAGGTCTTAAAAAGCTGCGACATAGTAACTTCTGGGGGAAGTTACATCACACGTCTATCTGCCTTGAAGTCTAAACTTGCTCTCAACGAGAAAGCCAATCTTTCTTCCAAACCAGGCAAACAACCCCACTATTCCCTATCCCCAAGACAAAGGGGTACCAGTAAGTGTATCCACTGGTCATTCATGATTTATGTACTCTACGAATAAAGGAAGTGGTCTGGGTTTAAGACATAAACAAGGCCTATAGAATAGGGGTCTTTTTGTTCCCATCTCTTTGTTTCACCAGTAGCATATACCAGAGAGGTGATCTTAATAGAAACATAGTGTAAAGGTACACTTTAAATAGGGGTTCAACAATTTAAAGTAATATAAGCTTACTCAAAAATTAGAAAATAGGTTTACTCAAAAAATAGAATATACCTTGATAATAAACAGGGTCTGACATATATAATTCCTTTTTTGTTTATAATGACTTGTTTTCGTTTTTCACACTCAGGCAAATTTACAGGACCTATTATCTTAGGATCTGTGTTTTTCCTACTTTTTCCTTGCTTGTCAGCACCTCGCATCCTTACTGAAGTCATTCCCTGGGCCCTGCTTATTATTCCTACTTTTATCTATAATCTTTTTTTGACGCAAACCAATTCTCTTCCATCCCCTTCGTCTTCTTATCAATTTTATACCTATATAGCAAAGATTTCGTTATATCACTGCTTTGCACAGCACTTGAAACACCGTCCTTTGCCATTTGCATTTTGTTTCATTCTTTCTACCTAATATTCTTCTCTTAATCGGTTTGCTGTACGTTTGCATTATCAGGTACTCCCAAATGTATGCATTTTGCTTGAACATCTACTTAATTGTCAGCGCTCACAAGGCATTAACATTTGTTTATCTTGGAGCACTGGCCAGTTCTGTTTAAAATATATTCATATTTCTTTATGTATGTTTTAGTGTATACTGATGTTTTTTTGTATTCAGAACTGGAAATGAATAAAAGAAATAAAATAAAAAGAATAGTTTCCCTTCTTCTGTGGTCTTCCTTTCATTCATATTATTTCTTTTCCTTTCATTTCATTTTTTCTTTAATAAAACATTTCATGTTTCTTTTTTTTTCGTAGTTCGTTTTTCCCATATTCTTTATTTCTTCCATTAATTGTTTTTAAATAATTATGTGTCTTCGTTTTTATATAACTCTTTTTACTTTCTTTCTATTCTTCCTTTTCTTTGCTATCTCATTTTCCCTCCTATATTGGCAACGTTTTGTGTATGGGATAAACAAAAAATACCTACTCATGGAACTATGTGCTCTGATCGGTCTTTATTCCCCTCTTTTTTAAGATGTTGAATTATTGCTGCCAACTAGCTAGTTTGCCCAATTTAAGCCTCGGTCACAAATGCCATTACGAACGATTTTCAGACAATGGAAATTCGAGAAGACAATGGAAAAACAGGGAGATTCGTACGAAATTATCGTTCGTACGAACCATTTGTGACCGTAGCATAAGCGAGAGCGAGCATTACACATACAATCATGTACAGCTAGCTAGCTACAGCTGTGCGTACGCGCCGCGCGCACGCAGCGACTATTTTTTCAGGAGCTAGGGAGTCGTGTTAAACTTTAAGACCATGTTACACTTTAAGACCTCAACAGCCGTTGGACCATCTCCCCTCCCTGTTGAGAAGGGATATAAGCCGATATCTCTCTTCCATTTGTACTATTGGCATGATCGTTTCCTGACATATCATTCCAGTCATAACAGGCGTAGATTGGAAGATTTGTTTTCCTTCAAGATGAAGTCTTTTAAATACATTGAATCAACCTTTGGAGTTCACATGTTGTCTTTCACCTTGGATGAATCTCTCACTAAGTCTCTGGTCTGGTTTTACCAGAACAAACAAGAGCACGGAGGTCGCAAAATTCTCGATTATCCGAAAAGCGAACAAGATATCATCGACATGCTTAAGATAGCAAAATACAGTATCATTCGATCAATAAATTTTGCCGAAGAATCGACAAAATACGAATTCTAATCCTTGATGATCTATAACGTACTACTACTAGTAGTAGTGGTGGTTACTTTACCAGACTGCTAAGAAAGCATAAATGCTTGTTAGTAAGCAACCAGAGGACCAACGGCTTTAGGTCCCCTAAGAGGCAGGGGCGTCAATCTTGTTAAAAATGTGGTGGTGGGGGGGGGGGGGCACAATGGAGTAAAATATGAAGTGGCGCATCAGGGGGTGCCTGGGGGAGGAGAGGGGGTGTGGTCCCCTCAGAGTCGAAAGAAAATCTAATTTTCAAACTCATTTTGCGCGATATGGTGCATACTTTCTAGTAATATTTGACAGAAAATCGTTAACTAGATTCCAATGGATTTTAAAAACCTGAAACAGGAATATCTTATGTCACTATTACAAAGACTCGGAAACATATTTGCTATACACGCTTTATGATTGTAATCATTATGTGAAATGATTCCATGGACTATCTTGATAACAACAGTTAGGTTTGAATGAGTTACAACATGTACCTTATTCGTAATTACTAACTTAACGTTTTAGTAAACTGTTTTGGTATATTTTAAGATATTTGTAATCGTATTTCATTATCTGCCTATTATATTTTTATACATGTAGGATTGATAGGAAATACTGAAAGCTGGAAAGTTGGAGATATTGTCTGTTTTCTTGCCAGAAAAGCGTTAATTGTGTGTTACAGTATATACAAATCAACACCCTCTCGGCTCAAACAGACAATAGCTAGTACATTTCTTATTTTAGTTTCTCCTTCTAACGATGAAGTCACTTGTGTCGCCCTCTAGTGGCAATACACCAGAATTCACATTAGTGTAATCTAAGAATATTGATATTTTCACAAGTTATTGTATTTATTAAAGCATTTGCATTTAAAAGTTGAAATATTTATATACCCTTTTTTTAAAAATGGAAGTTTCCATTTACAATACATGTATAGAATGGACTTGTTGATAATGTATGTATGAAGACTTTAAAACAAGGGTTAAGATTAGAGGGTAGTCTGACAGGGAAGAAATTTGAAATACATGTAAATGTAGTACACTAGGAAATGAAAGATATCTATTTTCATAACAAATTAATTTGCAGCACGTATAATGATGTAAACTGAATAGTGGACACCCAGCTTTTTTTGTGATTTATTTTAAAAAGAAAATCATATCTGAATCTGAATAATGTTATAAAAATATTCTTCTACAAAATGATTATAGACTCTTTGCTTTGCTTATTAATAAAATGTTCAATTTTTCTTTGTTCCGCTCATTAATCTTTTGAAAATAGCTGAACATTTTTTAGTCAATGTGCATCCTGTCTCATAAATGTATGATTGCTTGCAGAGAGAGTAAGAACTATCAGTTTTATCGTTACAAGGTCATAAATAGCAACAATAATGCACATATCGAAAATAATATCACTAGTGACTTTCTTTTGTCTTGCAATGTATGGTCAACAAGGGATCAAAAGATCACGACGTTATTTTCGATACTATATCTGCAACGAGTAATGCATTAATAATGCACATATTCACATATTTTTGTTGTTAAATGTATATAGATTATCTGCCAATGACTTATTGCCAACTTGTATTAAATAATTTGCTACATATGTATATAAATAAATGTCAGAGACATTTTTGAGACATAGCAATAAACATTTATACTCACAATCATTTTATATATTATTGTGTGATCGCTTACTAAAATATATATATATATATATATATATATATATATATATATATATATATATATATATATATATATAACAGGCCAGGAGGGTGGGGGGGGGGGGTCCCATCATGTTTTTGCTCATTTTTTAGGAATGTGTGATTTGATTTTGGTAGCCTCTTGCTGTTATTGTTTGGTAATAGCGGTTTTAGAGGGTTTTTTTTTTTCTTTGGTGCTCCCTCCAAATGTTTGCATTATTTACTGATTGATACGATCCGCACACTTAACCAACCCCCATCTGATCACACATGCATGCATGTGTCACAAAATAAGTTTTATTGATAGAATTCTAGACATATAGTGTAAATTTTCATTGTTAGAGCAAAATTAGAATTGAATAACAAATCTTTGAAGAAGAACTACATTGTCAAAAACATTGAAACATTTTACAGCGTGTATGATATAAAACACAAAATGTAGGCTACATCGTCAGTTTGGATATCATACAAAACATTTTATAATATGGAAAGTATGAACATATGAAACTTTTTTTTTTTTTTTTTTTTTTGTCTCGAAATTTGAAAATTTGACATTTGTCTTCGTTGGGGGAGGGGGGGGGGGAGTAAGGTCACCTTTTTTAGGTCAGCCATTGGCATAATTTTTTTTTTTAATTTAAAAAAAAAAAAAAATTATAAAAATAATTTAAAAAAAAGTAAACCCAAGGGGGGGGGGGGGGGAGAGAGGGGTTTCCTCCAAAATACAATACACACATAAAAAAAAAAAGAAGAGGGGGGGGGCGTTCAACCCCCAAACCCCCCTCCCCTGCGTACGCGCCTGGTCTATAAACAAAAATACTCTCCTACAAAATAATTATAAGCTTTTTATTTTTGTTCTGCTCATTAATCTTTTGAATATAATTGAATTTCGTATTCAATGTTTTATAAATATTATGTTAACCTTAGGAAGGTCATAAATAGCACCAATAATAGACATATTCACATATTTTGATGCAAAATGTTTATATTCTCAGCCAATGACACGTTCCCAACTTAATTGTATTTAATAATTTGCTAACATATGTACATATATATAAATAAATGTCAGAAACACTTTTGAGACATAGCAATATACATTTATACTTTCAATCATTTCGTTCAAAGTAAAATTGAAGAATAGACTATGTTAACACAAAATAAAGAAAGAGAGAGAGAGAGAGAAAGAGAGAGAAAAATAAGAATGTTCTATATATAACATTTTAAAAATAAAACGCCAACACTTATGTATGAAAACAGATTGCAAGTACATTGCTGTTTTTAAATCTTATGTGTGACGCTAGAGGTCGGAAAGGAAATAAGAATCCTTGGTCTTTTTTCAATGAATGAATTTGCTCGGTCCAAAGTCCGTCTCGCATGCATGTACATTTATTACATTGTCATCGTTATCGGAAAGCCACAGTATATATGCACGTCTCAAACAACACTATTGAATATTGTGCCATATACTACCGAGTAGATATTGCCATCACTACATTGAATCATGTCTAATTACATAGGATTGAATGTCGGTGGAAAGATATACCGGACATCTCGTACTACATTGACCAGTACGCCCGGGTCATTCTTCAATTTGATCCTAAATGGCGGCATACCGTCTGCCCAGGATGAGCAAGGAAACTATCTCATTGATCGCGATGGCGATATTTTCAGACATATTCTCAATTATTTGAGAAGCAAGAAACTTGTACTTCCAGAAGGATTCAACGAGCTTCATCTCCTGGCGTGCGAAGCTGACTTCTTTCAGCTGGAGACACTGAAGGAAGAAGTCCTGAGTGTACTTGGCATTCATCAGATCATCGGGCTGAATGTTGGCGGGAAGATCTACCAGACAACCAGAGAAACACTCTTGAGAGCCCCCCAGGGTTACCTGGCAGCCATCGTGAGCGAAAAGGGTCTAAACATGGCCAGAGACAAAGATGGAAACTTTGCGATAGATCGAGACGGGGAGCTGTTTCGCTACATCCTCAACTTTTTACGCGAAGGAGCTTTGATTCTGCCCAAATCATGGAATGATTTCAATCTCCTTTTGAACGAGGCGGCCTTCTTTGGGATTCCTGTTATACGTGAACACGTAACGAGTTTGATGAATTTTGGTGAGACTGATGAAGAGAATGCCGGAGAGAATGGCCATCAGCCGGTATCTTTCTTCCATTTATACCATTGGCATGGCCGTTTCCTGACATATCATACCAGTCATAACAGGCGTAGATTAGAAGATTTGTTTTCCTTCAAGATGAAGTCTTGTAAATACGTTGAATCAACATTTGGAGTTCACGTGTTGTCTTTCACCTTGGATGAATGGCTTACTGATGAGTCGCTGGAGTGGTTCTACCCCAACAGTTCAGGACACAAATGTCGCAAAATTCTCGATTATCCGAAAAGTGAACAAGATATCATCGCTATGCTTCAGTTTGGAAAGTACAGTATTATTCGATCGATAAACTTTGGCGAAGAATCGACAAAATACGAATTCGCGTTCTAATCCTTGATGATCCATAAATGTAACTCTCTAATAATGCCATTTTGTTTATGCTAAACATAAATCATGATAATTATTACGAGCAAATAGCAAAGTGTAATCAAAATTATGCCCCTTCAAAACATCATATGCAAATACTTAATAATTCGTTTTCATCATCATGCAGTCTTGAAGAAAACATTTGCTCTATCAGTACGGGGATGTTCAGTCACTATCAGGGTTTACGGATGTATATCTTTTGACTTGTTTCTTATTGCCTCGAACGATGACCCCAGCTTGATGTTGAGCCCCGCGACAGAACATGAGTACCATTTGGAGCAGATATATATTCATGAAGAGAGTGACGAAGACAGCTACTTCGATCAGTGTAAACTTAATCTTCGACCATCGTGTCTACATGAAAAACAAACAAGAAAATGCAAACAATCTCGTCAAATACCTTATGTCTTATACGGATTATAATCAAACAATAACATTTATGAAACGAGTGTAACTATTAACCTACTTATGTAATTACCTGGAAGCCTACAATGAATCTTCGTAAATTATGTTTTTATCGGATATAATACTAGAGTTGATAAACTAACCTTATTGGAAATTAGTACTCTCTTTAAAAAAAAGAGTGAATTTTCAGAATCACGGACGTCACTCCTCTGGAGAGTGAAAATGTAGTGAAAATAGAGTCAACATTCACTCTTTTCTTCTTAGAGAGCACTCTAAAATCAATTGATTTTCACTCCTAAACAAGTGATCCCGGACGTCACTCCCAAGAAAGTGAAAATAGAGTGAAAATTCACTCTTTTTTTTTAAGAGAGTAAGTACAAAACAAATAAAAAATGGGAAAAGGTTGCTCTTTGTGTTTTAAAAGAGAATAAATATAATAATTATAAATATCATAGTGACAAACTTATCAAATTTTGCAAAACATTCTTTGAGTGAAATATGCAGCAGCAAACTCAAACGAGGTCGGAAGTAATTGACAATTTATTACTTAGATAACTCATTTTTGTTCTTTATTAATGATTGGAAAAAATGACGCCTGCAATGTATAATGTGGAAAACAACTCGACCTCGAGAAAATACCACTTGTTATTCAGATCATGTCGGTCGATCAACCTTTGCATGAGCATAATTGCGTTCCTTCACCTCAGGATAGGGAAAAGCTGACAAATAATCTATTTATTTATGGTTGAAACCGTTGAAATGCTCCATTGCACCTTTGATTAAACAAAGGGAGATATTCAATGGATGTGACGACATCGGTTTCTGTGCCGAAGGCTGGGTAAAAGATCGAGTGTGCACGCTCTATTATTCAACACAATATTTAATTCATACCACTGTAATGAACAATAATCAGGTTAAATGGCATTGATGGATCAGGACAATTATTATATTATAAGGGACATGGACATTATTTGTATTTTTTATTTCCTCTTCCTTAATCGCTCTGCTACTAATATGGTCCATGATAATTATGTTATACTATACCCGTATTATACTCAGGCACATAACCTTAGGAGTCAGATGTGATGGCATTGTGTAATGTGTATGGGTAGTGCTAGGGTGCTGTGAGCGAATTTTTGATTTACGAGCCTACTTTAATTCTTTTTTTTTTTTTTTTTTCTAACGATGGTGAAACACGTAATGTTCAAGAAGTAACGAACATGGAAAGAAATCGCTCCCAGTTTGGGTATTTCTCGTTTTATAAGTCAGAAATACGGACATTTTAACCCATTGCTTACTGGAACCTGGTGGTCCCTATGTTAAGTCAACATGAATCAGATAATTCAGTAGTCGACGGGTTAATGGCGTTTTCCGATTAAGACAAACATAAACATTTTCGTGATTGTATGGAATGGAACATGTGGCTATATAAAGCCCAAAATGCGAAATGTTTGAAGGTATCGAAGCGATCAGAAATTTAGAAAAAGAAGGAAAAGGAGAAGAATAAAAAGGAGAAGAAGAAAAAAGAAGAAAAAGTAGAAGGAGAAATAGAAAAATAAAATAAAAGGCATAGTTAAGTAGAAAAAGAAGAAGGATCAGAAGAAAAAGATAATGATGATAACCACATCCTCTAGTTCCCGGTATAGCTATTGTCATACTTAGTTTTCATTTAAATTTCATGTGATAAAGCTTGTCAAGTAAATATATTGCACAAATGAGGCAACATATACCAAATAAATTGTTTCTGATGCCTGTCCACTCATTACATAACCTTTAGTGTACCTTCTTGCATGCATGGTGGAACTGGAAGCATGACTTCTGGGGCTCCAGCTTTGTTCCAGAATTTCAGGCACTTAATGTCTAGGTAATGCCTCGGTCACAAATTCCATTACGAACTGCTACGAACGCCGTACGAACGATTTTCAGACAATGGAAAAACAGGGAGATTCGTACGAACCTTTGTGACTGTAGCATTAGGCGAATGCATTTGCATGAGCACGACTCTTTGAGCATTACATTTTATTTTTAAAAAAAGCATGGAATAGGTTGATCTAGCAAATAATTCTCCAGTTAACCATTCCCATTTGATTTCATATATTCATTACTTTTCAAAGTTAAATGGAGCCAAGACAAAAGGGTGTGTCATAGTCAAACACTTAATTGTCCTTGCCCGTATTTAAAACGTTCCCACTTCATACCACTATATCCACATGCAATGACCATACCTGACTGCATATATTCAAAATCAGATCTTCACCACAATACGTTGTTATTGTTCATCACAATGTTTACATATTAAAGTCGTTTGCAAATGAAGCATTGGCATAAAGTACAGGTTGAAAGATTGCTTGTCAAAATTTAATTTGGAATCTTGCCAAATCGCCTTTTTCTGTGTGGAAAATTTGCTGTAAGAATCTACTGGTATCAAAACCGATAAAGCGTGGCACAATGAAAACATGCGTTGCAGCTTGAGACCCAGGGCAAAATATATATATTTAGATATTCATTGACATGACGCTTCCTATGAAAATTGAATGGACTCGAAACCAGACAGGGATGGGGCTGCTGCGGGGGAGGGGTGCAATCTATCATTTTGAGCAGCATCGCGTACGTAGCGCGAATAATACTGCAAGTTTTACTCATTTTGTTTCTGTACCTTTAAAGTTGGTGATAAATCTCGGAATATCAATTTGTCTACTAGTGTCTATGATAGAGGAGATTGGAGACTTATTTAATTGAAATATCCCTTTCCTAGCCATGCTTTCTTTCATGTACATTTAAGTTAAAATGTGATCACCTCTCTATCTTTCTTGGGACGATGATTTTGATTACTGGTTAAGTATCAAGTCACTAATTTCATCACGGTTTTGTTACAGATAGTGGTGAAGGTATGGTCAAGAATAAAATGCTTGATTTAATACTTATGGAGGGGAAAAAAGAGAGGGATGGGAGAGAAAGAAACAAAGAAAGATATAGAAAAGTAGGAAGAAGGAAAGAGGGAGGAATGGGTGGCAAAGATAGAGGGAAAGAGATCAAGAGGGGAGATATAAGAGGAAAGAGTGGAAAGGAAAGAGAGTAATTAAGAAAGAGAGAGAGAGAGAGAGAAAGAGGGGGTGGGGTGACTTACAGGTGGGCGTAGACTAGGTAGCACATGATTTGGCGGTATTTCGTTTTGCACTTCGTCTTGTAGGCCTACATCCGTGTCTTCCATCTCCTCCTCCCCCGTCTCTCGCTTTATGACGTCATTCACGGACAGGAAAATGGTGAGGGCTTGTCCGTTTTGAGGAAACTTCCCGTTTTCATCTGACATCACATTCTTATTCGTGATATCTGGGCTCTCCTGGTGGATGTTCTCTGAGCTGCCCTGATGGCCAGTAGTGGTGGCCTCGGAGTTATCGAGAGCGCTGTGGTTTGATACATGGCCGAACGTCCACTCATCTGCGACAATGGGTCGACATTCTGTTGGTATGCAACATGAGTTCTAAGCCTATGGGTCTATGCTATAATTAAGTTAAAAATCCAATATCGAGAAACAAACCTCATCTTAATACACATTTAAGGGCTGCAGTTAACAGAGAATTTCAAGGATGATACCTGTTCATTCTTATTAGTTGATTTTGAATATTATGTCGATGGATTGCTCATTTTCTAAGCAGGTTGACGGGGACTCATAGTAGGGGCAGTAAATGGTAGACAGCAAATGGCACAATCTGCAGAGCGTGGTTTTCATGAATCTTTTAAAAGTGGTTGACAATACTGTATCGTGATGGCAAAATACTGATAGTATGCAGATAATGCAGGGTTACCTGACAGTCTGACCCTTAACATATTTTTAATTTAAAGCCAAACAGCAAACATAAAATAGAGATCTAAGAAAATTCTAACTGACAAATCAAATTTTATATAATAATTAGGTTTTCGGACATACAGAACCCTCTCCTATTATTGTGGAATACCCAGACGGTGTGTATCCGGACAGTAATGTTGTTTCAAATCGAAATTTAAATTTGAAGAAGTTTACATGAAATGTGATATAGATGTAGACCTAGTCTAAGTCTTATGTTAGACGATATTATTAAAGGGAAAGTCCACCCCCAAAATAAGTTTGTTTCGATAGAGGCAGAATAATAAGAAAATCAGGTGAGTGAAAGTTTGAGCAAATTCTGAATGAAAATAAGAAAGTTATGAATTATTGAAGTTGTGATCAATCAAATACAAATTGGCAACTCTGTGACTTATTATACCCGCTCTCCTTCATTTGCTTTGTGCATAATATTCCATAAATCATGTTTTCTTCGTTATTGATGACGGAATATATTTTTGTTCCTTGCAGGGGGAGTATAGAAACATATTTGCAATTATTATATTTAGGGTGCATGTATGGTTGAAATTTTTCTTGAGGGAAAATGAAAATTTTAGATTTTTTTAGTACTGAGCAAATGGAAGTTGAGCTCGCATGATACGTCATAGACGTGCCAATTTGTGTTTGATTGATCACAACTTCAAAAATCCTAACTTCCTTATTTTTAATCGGAATTTGCTCAAACTTTCACTGACTTGTTTCTCTCATTTTTCTACTCCTATTAAAACTAACTTAATTTCAGGGTGGACTTCCCCTTTAAAGACTTAATTTCTGATGGTTAGCGCTTATAATAGATGCATAGTTCTAGACTACTTTTCTATAAATACCAAGGCAAAATCGACGGTTTTATTTTTTTTAGGCGTCTGGACACCTCCCCCCCCCCCCCAGGAGCGTTGAGTTAAAAAAAATAAAATAGAACACCCCCCCCCCCGCTGAGCCAAAACAAAACAAATCAGGGCTTACTACCCCCCCCCTCACTTATTCGGCCGGCCGGCTGAGTCGCCGCTAAATCATTTTCTCACGAATTAGGCCCCCTCCCTCGCCTCCGGCCGGATCCGCCCCTGACACCCCCCCCCCAATCATAGATTGTAAAATGGGGAAGCAATACCAATAAAAGTTGGTTTAAGTAGCTGGGACTGGACGTATAGTATTAGATCGAAAATAGAGCTTTAACGATAAGACGTGACGTGAGAGTTTATCTCTTATCAGATCTATTCGTAGATTTTTTTTTGCCATTAAAAATTATCTGATTGTTCTAACATTTTATTGATCATGGAAAACTGAAAAAAAGCATGCACAATTTCTAAACTAAAAAAAGGGGAAAAACAGAAAACAAAAAAATCTTACCACAAAGACAGGA